TTAATCGAGTCTTACTTTCTTACGAGTAGTCGTATCACTCCAATAACGGGAGCGTAATGGGCGTTACCATGGCTACAGCTCAGCTCTGCAGCCGTTGGTTATCACCTCTAGGAACATCAGGGTCTCTTTTCCTTTTTTTTAAAGGGGGGTGTTGCCTGTCCGGTCCGCAGACCGTTCTTTCTCCTCGCTGAATGGGAGAAGAAAAAAGGTGTTTCTTTTCTTTCGGGGGATATGAATTTGAATCTCAGTTGCACACGGATAATTCACGGAAGTTCTGCTTAAACCAGTCACAGATGAGCGGCCGAGTTTTGATCGGGAAAGTGCCTCCTCTGCGGTTGGAGCCAAGAGCTAAAAGGACTTTACTTTTTACGCCACGGTAAAGATGATATTTCATTACGGGGTAGCGACTTTCCCGACATTTTTAACTTGTGAATCATGTGAGATAATAGTCAGATGTATTCTTTTGCTTTTTTAACATTCATGACTGTTTTGACTAACGTGTATTTTAATGTATGGATTTAATACTTTGGACATACAGTCTGTAGTCATGAATAGACGAGGATATATTTGGGTAGTTGTACTGTTATTTTTGTAGGCTACTTTAATAATGACATTATTAAGTTTCAAAACAGAATGGATAACAGTAAATAGTTTTATTTCTTTATGAATGTTACTGTTGAAGGGTTAAACACGTGTAACTACATTATGTTGACAGGAAGATGGAAATTGTGAAAAGTGAGACTTTGTTGACAATGACTTGGCACTGTGAATTATAACATCTGTTGAAACACATTTTATGCTTGGAAGATACTGCGGTGCTGCAACCACAGCTATCTGTATAATAGAGGATGTCTTCACCACTCAGCACAGGCATGCATCCCAGGAGCTTTGTCTTAGCTCTCCTTTATGCAGAAAGGATACACAGTGCCAAGTGAACTGCAATATGCAATTTTCTTTTAATGTGTTCCATTTCATCTGGTTTTATAGTTAGACTAGGTGCTTATACTGTATGTCCGTTCTGTGCTTGTTTTTTGTTTTATTTTTGCAGTTTGCTACATGCCATGTTGGCAACCAGCACTTATGTGTGTGTGTGATTTCAGTGATGCTCAGGTCTACGTATGGACCAGTGGCGGCCGGTGGTCTTTTTTTTTGGTGGGGCTCTTGACGTACCGCAAGTGACCTACCCGGGGGGTTTCCCCCCGAATTTTTTTTTCGAGAAATGACCCCTTAAATGATGACTTCTGGTGATGTTAGAGGGGGGGGGAAGGAGAAATCGAGGCTTAAAAATATGAGAAGACTGATCAATACCTCCATAATCTTCAGTGTGGAAAATATTATTTATCAACCTGAACATCTACTACTTTACCAGGAATTTGTGTTCTCAGAACTGGTCTGTTTTTTTCTTTCTTAAAACTGTTCATGTTTTATGAACCAACACCTTCACCAAGTAGCTTTACAGTGAACTGCATGTGAGATATAAAATTAATAGCATCTTTTCAGTAGCATTAATTATAAATATTTAAGTGGTTCAATACAAGTCACTACAGCATTTCAAACTGAACTGTGAATAAATGCAATTTAAAAAAAATAACCACAGCACAAAATGTCATAAATTGTGTTTTTTCTTTGTTTCTCTGAGGATTATTTACAAACAGGCTTATTTACATATATCAATAACTCAGAAATGAAAAAGCTACATCGTCTAACACGAACAACCAGTTAGCATAATGATAATATATGTGTTATGTACAATGTATCTGGCAAGGCTAGAGCAAGAAAGAACATAAAGTTTGCAAAAGGTTTAAATAACTTCAAGTATCTGTCTTCAGATTACGTGGAGGTTTTAGTCCGATGGGAAGCAGATTTTAAGCGACACCGAAGATAAACCAAAAATGTGGTGGAGCTGCAAACCGTGTAGTGTTGCTGGGACAGAACAGGAGCTATAACCGTTGGAAAATACATCACAGACAATGCAACAAACGTGGAGACAGAACAATCACTTCTGTGATAAATGCCCACTTATTAATAAACTTCTAACAACCATGGGAAACCTCCTCTCTACATATAAAGTGATATCCAAGCATGGGAAACAAAAGACAGCATTTACCTGTTTGCATCCAGCTAGCCAAGCCTTTCTTGTGTACCAGCTACTTGTGAAGCCTCGTGTATAAATGTTGTCTTTTTCACGAGATTGCTGCGATATATTCAAATCGGGTTGGTCCGGTGCAAGGTCTTTAAGCAACAATTTATCTGCCAAACTTCTCCTTTCGAAAGGATTGGAGATTAGCTCTTGAACAGAATTAGGCGCGGACCGAGGTCCGGAGACTCCACCTGCACACGAAGCCATCCTCATCAACTACTGCGTCAACCGGATACGAGTCACTGTCCAAACTACTCACAGACTGCACTGGGCGCTGACATTGGCGCCCGGTGACCGTCATCTTTGACGACGCTAATTGGCTGAAATTATATTTTCGCGGCATAGTTTACACGTTACAGATAGCAACAGTCAGCTGCTGGTGGCTGCTGCTGCACTGGTTGAAGGCTCCTCTCTTAGCGCCCAGACGAGAGAAGGTGCATGGGCAAGGCCAGGCAGGAAACATGTGACTTATCAGTAACTTTAGACATCGTAACACAATTTTAAACGAGATTTTATTGTAGATTATACATTTTACTGATACCAATTATATAATATTTACCTTGTTCATTAAAAATAAAAATAAAAACATATATATTTTTTTAAACATATTTTTTTTTTTTTATTTTAATTTTAATTATTATTTATTTTTATCAATATGGGAAGAGGTGGGGCGGCGCCCCTAGCGCCCCTATGGACCGGCCGCCACTGGTATGGACAGTGATGGTTTCGTCCCCGACCAGCTCCACATCACCAATCATCCCTCATTCACCCTAAATCAAAACATTCTCTCAGCAGCCCAACTCAAATAATAGCGCGGACACACAAATGAGAGAGACGTTGGAGTTGTGCCACAGAAAACAAAAGTTAATTGCCACCCTATGTATGAAGTATGCACTTAGCTGGTGGACTCCCACCCTCTCCACGTCTAGATTTCACCTCTGGGAGCAGACACTTTTGGCTTGTAATATCAACAACACATCGGCCCTCCTGCCTCCTCTCTGGCTGACATCCCTGTGGGGTTATTCATGGCCCCTCTGTCGCCTCTGACAGAGGTGGTATTGTTCGAACATACCGCGAACATCTGGGCTTGATGTAAATCAAACTTATTTTCCTCATTGATGGTTTGTGAAAACATTGTAGAATCCTCAAATCAAACATTCATCTTAGGAATTTCCTTGATCGTGTCAAACTGCGTCTTTGAGGTCACGTCTCTACGGCCACAAATCACTTCACTTAAATGTTTCTTTTGTGCAACAAAATGCTTTAAAACCAAAGTGTCATGGTAAGCTTTTTCTTTGTTTTACAACTGCATGAACAACTCGACTACAGCCATGTGATTAAATCCAATCCTGAACGTGTATTGGCCGTTTTTGTTTCCCTGTATTTTTCTAGGCAATTCAGTGTTCCATGCCTCTGCTAATTGCAGACTGCAGAGCCACAAAGAACATTTCAGCTCAGTAGGAACGCAAGGGAAAGTGAAAAGTACTGATTCAGCTTGAGCAGTAACTCGGCTTTAAATGGTCTTATTAATTTACCTTTACTGCATTTTGTGTGCCAAAAATTGATTACCACCTGTGGTTGCCAGTAGTAATGATGGGGAAACATCATTTTGAGTTGGACTTGCGTTAAGCTCTCTTAAGATATCATTTTTAAATTCAACATCGTATTATTGCTTCTATAAAGCACATACAAATGACTTCCTCTTCCATTTTTTAAACTCCTCTCTGACCCTGGATATTTTAATTCTCCCGTAATGTTTCGGTTGACTGAAAGGCTACACCTCTTGTTGAACTCCACACAGTAATCTGCATTTTAAATGTATTTAGATATTATGTATCCAGAGAGCTGCTGCCCAGTGAGCCGTTTATCTACACTGTCCTTGTCTTCCTCACACAAGAGGCCAATCTGGCACCATGTGTTTCAGGGAGACGCTGGACTTCATTGTGGAGGGAAGGGTCAGGAAGAGGTTAGCAGCTTGTCACTCCGATTTCTCCTCATCCTGATTCTTTAGAGCATACCAGACTGCTTTCTTAAGCCCTGAGCTGTCAGTCGCCATACTTTTTATTCAGTGTGATTTATCAGCATATCTTGTAAAGTTTCCTTTGAAGCTACAGTTAAAGATTGCAGTTTGTTGCCCCCTGTTTTAAAACGTGCTGTGATAGGAATTTATTCAATTATGGCTAAGGTTATATGATTTAAATAGCTTCTTCAAACGTAAAAAATAACTCTCTTCTTTGGACAGCTACTGTAGTTAGTATTGCGCTTCCCATAAAAGATTTATGGTTTGCTAAAAGCTTTTTACCTCTGAAATGTTTATGAAGGATGGGTTGTTTTAGGTGAATGATGTTTAAAAATACAGGCATGGGTTTTATGTAGCTGTCACAGATTCTATGTTGTGTTTTTTGATAAAAGACAGACTATGTTATAATAATCAGACTATGTTAGGGTTTATCAGTTATCCAAGTATATGTTATACATCATAACATAATTTAATTCAAGGAATTTCCTACATAGAAAATACTTTAAAAAAAGTTTTGGAACAAGTACAAAGCAGAAACAATTGGATAATAAGTACACAAAATTAATGCTTTATCATTGAAACTGAACAGTCCACTCTTGAAGCGCATGGTCACCATATGGTCTGCAGCTCTGATGTGTCAGTTGAAACGAAGCAGCTGTGGCCATGTTGGAATTACCTGCTTGTTTGAGCATGTGACCACCTCCAGTGACAGCTTACTGCAGGCATATGGACATGTCTCTGTTGCTGCCAGCCTTTGTTTTACCTCCAAACTGTACATTTAAACTCTGTACATTCATATTGTCGCCATTTTTGCTAAGTGGTCATCCTGTGTTGTTTCAGCTGGGATGAGAGCAGCTCCATCAGCAGTGGGCTCAGCGACGGTGAAGGCGATGGCTCCGAGAACCTCAGTTCAGAGGAGTTCAACGTCAGCTCCTCCCTTAACTCCCTCCCCACTACACCCCTGGGATCCAGATGCAACTCTTCTGCCATGGTGAGCTGAAATCCTGTGCCTAACACTCTCTGACAACCTTTGGCTTTCCTTTCATCACAATATTTCGTTAAAGGATAAGAACATGGCGTTTACTTCCCTCACAGTGCAATACATCTTTTCTGTTCTGACAGTAACATATTAACTTCCTGTAATTTCATTGACCCTTAAAGCCCCTTTTTACTCAGAAATGCGTTCTGCCTATTGTTACTCATCTGGGATGTTTGACTGACAGAATGATGTACGTTTCACACTAGAGGCAGTTTTCACAGTTATCTGAAGGTGATACGCTTATCTATGCTCATCTGGAACTTCAGAACATGCATGTAAGAATATGATTTTGTGAATTTATAATCCGAATTTGTCGAAAAGAAGAAGGATAAATAGTGAGTGTTCTAACTTACAAAACGCTCACCAGGGAGAACTCTTCTCCTGAACATTAGTGCTATTCAATGCGCCATCTGCTGCCCTGTATCACATTAATAAGGTGCCAAGAAGCAGCATGCCCAAAACTGTCCTCAGTGCCACCTCCTTAATGCACCACATGATTGTTTTTCTATTACAGTGTCTTTTTTGGATCAGTGCACGGTAATACATTACAAAAATAAACTCTCAAGCTCTCCTCCTATTCAAACACTTTAATTTATTTTAATTTTAATGGGTTGATTTATTATCTAGAGACCTTTTTCTCACCCTTTTAAATATTCTATGTTCCTTTCCTTTGTCTTCCTCTGTGGTTTTCCTAAATCCACTCTGGGCATATCAGTCTATCTCTCCCTTGCTTCCCACTGGAATGCAGCTGAGATGAAACAAAGATTACAGAGAACACACAATACCATAGATAACTCGGAACATTTTTACCCCCTCCTCTCTCTGCAGCTCCGCACTGATGCAGAGAAGCGCTCCCTGGTGGAAAGCGGACTCTCGTGGTACAGCGAGGATCACAAAGCCGGCCACAAGCTGGACAGTGGCAGCTATGAGACCGGTAGCCTCAAGACGGAGGCCCCGAGCAAGTGGAGGAAGAAGCCTCCGAGCCTCAGTGAAGATTTTGGGTGTAAGGGAGAACTGAAGAAGCCCCAAAGCTTGGGTCAACCAGGAAGTTTCAGGAAGGGTCGCAATCCTCCTGTAGGTGTGACCTCCCCCATCACCCACACCTCTCAGAGCACATTGAAAGTCGCAGGTGAGATCTTGTGGTATTTGTTCTTACTTTTTTTTATCTATATGCCTCTTTTTTTTCAGCTTTTCATTTTCTCCGCTGTTCATCTCCTGTAGGAATGTGGTTTACAGGATCTATGTCCTCCATTATTTCCCTGTATGCTGTTTCCAAATGTAAAACAGCCTGTTTGTAGAGCAGCCAAGGCAGATATCTGCTTGGTGTCAGGATGAAAACAGAAGTGTACCCCTTAGCGTAGGCCAGGTTCTGATTTGTAGCACACCACAGTATACTGAAGGAAAATGCATCATGCAATCCGTTTTATTGAATTAAAAAAAATCTTAAAGCCCATGAGCCAAGTTTCTGCTATCATCTGAGAGAAAAGCTGGTTTCTGTACATGTCCGCAGAGCCGCCATGTCTGCCATCTGCAGCAAATACATGAAGTTAATCCCAAACAAAAATATGCAACGATTAAATGATAAAACTTGAGTTCCAATACTAATGTTTCTAGTCGTTTACTTTCTATTTTATTATCTTGATTTTGGCTTTAAACATAAGTGATTCAAATTAGATCTGATTGCATGTACGCTGGCTGCAGTTCTGCAATTATCCTTTAATGAATGTCCACATATTTTCCAGCTCTGTGCTCTTACTCTAACGATCCATACGAATCAGATTTTTGTGATTGATTATATCACTTTGATACATCATATGATATGTTTAAAACAAGTTTAATTGTGCATAAGACCATTTTTAAGTCAGCTGATGAATCACATTGTATGTCATGGGCCCATAAAAGCTCTCTAAGTAAATACAGATGTGTCTTGCTTATATTTGCTGTAATAGCTGGAAGACACTTGCATTCATTTTTATGCAAAAGTGTTTAGCTAAAGAGAAATGATGTATGACAGTGCTGATTATCCATTTCGGTTCCAGACAGAAGATACGATGTCACATACTAACAGAAATTATTTTTTGACAGGGCTCAACATCAAACAATGAATCAACTATTAAAACGTATTTTAAAAAAACACAAACACACGTCCTTAAAATAGGACTAAAACTGTTTAAACTAGAGCTGGCAAGAACAATACACAGGATGAGAACACAGGATGAGAACACTTAGGAAAAGTGAAATAGGTATCTTTTCCTAAGCGTTTAGGGTGATTGCAGAGGGAATAAAGTATTTTTGTAGATTGTTTTCCAGGCCATTAGGACTTTGTACGGCCTACCTTATGCTGGATTAGATAGAGGAGTTTAGGGTGACCTATTTGTTGGCCTGATTACTTATGCAGGACAGTTTTGTGCAATTCAAGTGTGTGTTTTCATTTTTGTTTGCTCAAGTTTACTGGCTTTACTATCCCACCTATTTATTCTGTTCCTTCATTTATAATCCATCCATCTTTTTCGTGTATTCTTGTCAGTCATGGTGTTTACAGGACAAACATTCTTGCTGCTCCTTATCAATATTTAAATACATGTAATTGTTATTGATATTGCCATTATGTTGTTATTCAACTCTACATTATCCTTCTTTGTCTAGCACCTAAATGTGAGAAGCCAATGGATAAATCCAGGATTTCCCTCAAAACTGCCGGTCTGCAGCGGTCCCGCTCAGACGCTGGCAAGGATCAGCTTGGAGAGTACCGCAAGCCCCCGTCAGGTTTAGTTAAACCCACAGCCGGAGCCTCCTACGGCTACAAGAAACATCCAACAGCCACCGGCACCGCCACTGTTATGACAGCAGGGGGCACCACCATCTCCAGTGGCTCTGCTACTCTGGGCAAAATCCCCAAGTCATCTGGCATCCCCGTGAAGCCTGTGGGAGGAGGGACACCCTCAGGAAGAAAGAACAGTTTTGATGCCAGCAGTGAGCAGTGCTTCCTGGGGCCAAACACTCGAAACAGCATTCAGTACCGCAGCCTGCCTCGACCGGCCAAGTCCAGCACGTTCAGTGTGATTGGTCGCCCTGCATCTCGGCCTCTCAGCGGCACCATCGACCCCAGCCTGTTGAGTTTGAAACCCGTGCCCATGGCCTCCACAGGCCCCAGGATTAAAGAGCCCAGTAGCTGTAAGATGTCCAGTCGATCGAGCACAGGCCCCGTGAACATGACCGACCGGGAGAAGGAGAAGGAGAGAGCCAAGGCCAAGGCTGTGGGGGCCGACATGGACTGTGGGTCTCTGAAAGCAGAGACTCGGTCCTCAGGAGAGTCCACCATGAAACTGCACGGTCTGAGACGGACCAGCAGCAGCAAATACCCTGAACTGTCATCTCCCACCACACCAAGGTGTCTCATTTAAATATCACTTTAAAGTAATATAAACCAAATGACAAAACAAAATGTAATCCCTCTGTCCTCCAGTGACATCTAGAGGTATTCTTCTTCACTAGTATCTAGCCATGCAGGTAGATTCACTTTGGTTGTGAAGCCCCTCAATAGGCTACCATAACAAAATGAAACTAAATTAAATACATTTCCTTTTAAAGAAATACAAAATAAATAAAAAGTTCACCAGCAATATCTTTCTCCATAAACAGTGTCCCAGCTACTCTTAATAATCCACAGAGTAGTATGAACAGTTTAGAGCAGAGGTTTTCAAAGTGGGAGGCAAGGATCCAAACGGTTTCAGGGGAGGCTCAGTGAATGGAAGTGTAAAATATGAAAATGGCCTATTCAATTAGTTATGATGAATAAGATCACATTTAATGGCCTTAATGGGTGTGACTTGATTAAAGAGATAGGGAAATTGAACTTGGTGTCTCACTCTCACAGATTAAGAAACTATTACATACCAGTGCTATATCATCTACTTAGGGTTGTCTGAAGTTATGTGTGCAATAACACCTCTAGATCTTGGCTCAAAGACAGGCTGAGGTGGTTCTTTCCAAGCTTTGTGTGAGGGGAGACCTACAGTCACAGATTTTGAAAACCCCTGGTGTACAGCAATGGAAACATAGTTGTTTTGGATCTACAGTATGTTAGTGTTGATATGTGGAGGCAAATCAGACAGATACTTGGCAAACACAACTACAACTTATCTGCCTTTCTATGTATGTCTCGAGGTAGGGACGCTAGACGTTTTTGTATTTTAACCTATTCTTTATGCCTGACTCCTAGGATGATGAACACAAAGTCTCTGGGCCGTCCACCCAGCTTGGCTCACCTTGACAAGGTCAACTACAACAGCCTTGACTCCTGTGTGACCATCCATGACCTCCCGCCAAAAGTCCCCCCTTATTCCAAGCTGCAGGACCTGGCTGGTGCCCACACCTCGTCCCGCCTCACCCCCAGCCCAGCCCCTGTGCTCCACATCGACTCCCCCGGCTCCTACACCAGTGAGAGCCTGAGTCTGGGCGGCTCCCCGCTGCTCTACCCCAAGCTGTCAGGCATGCACCGCAGCATGGAGTCCCTGCCCCTCCAGATGAGCGTGCCTCCCAGTTCCAGGTTTGTCAGAACTGAGACGCAAGACAAGGAAGAGAGGGGAGCGGGAACCTGGGGGGCCGGAAGCAGGACCTCCATCAACCTCACAGATAGGCAAGTCTCATCTCAGGAATATCTAACGTTGATCCATGAAAGATGTACACAATCATTGAAAAAGCATTCAAGAACATTTATTTTAGTAAAAATCAGTCCAAAGCCACTTTTTCCTTCTTCCTGTGAACCATTATTGGTAGAAGGTACTTCATTTAACCCAACAGCTGAACTTTCTTTCATTATGAACACAGTCAACATTGGACTTTAAGTTTCTTGGCAGCAGACAAACCAGCCCTCCATATTTTATGTGCCTTTTTCCGGGAAAGGAAACTCTGAGGTGTCATTTAGAAGATGGAGGGCTGGATCCTTTGGAAAATGTCTGTCCGTCAAAGTGGAGATAGTCCAAATAATTTCCTGCCAAAAGAATGTACTTTAAGGCACTCCCACGCTGTGTACTAAAGGGCCAATATGTACATACATAATTATTGGCGAACCTTTGAGACGTCTTATTCAGGTGTCGCGCAGGTCCTATGACAAACCTTTAGATGAATGATGGTGTTGTGTAAAGTTCTAAGAGACACACTTTGTGTTTTCTTTCTTTTAATAATGTTTTATTCTCTTCTTAACAGCTTGCAAGCGGACAGAAATACCTTGCCGAAGAAAGGCGTGGAGTAAGTTAAAACAATTACAGTCCCAACCATCTAATTGCAATGTCCCACTGTGATGTATGTCTGAAGTTAAAACGACCTCTTTTCCTCAGACGCTATGGCTCAAGCCTGTCAGACACTGACGGCAAACCGGAGAGGCGCCATTCCCACACCATAGTCAGCATGACAGAGAGCGACAGCCCCCCTCAGCTGCCTTCTCCCACCCGCCCTCTCCACCCCTCCTCCGGCAAGGCTCCTCTCACCAACGTGGGTGAGTCTGCTCGTTCCATTTGGCTGCCAAGTTCTAAAAACACTCACACTGTGTGAGCCTCGAGAACTAATGAGGCTTTGAGGTATTTGATTAGCGGTCCATTTTATCGCTGATTATTATTGAGGACAGGGATGTCAAGTTACCACTGGAAAGAGGAAAAGTCCAGCATAGTTTTTAAAATAAATATTGACTTAAGTTGTCGAAAATAAAATAAGTTATGTCTGGACGATGACGTTTTGGCAAGTAGTTATCAGATTGGACTGTGTGAAAACATATTACAGTCCCACATCTGCAGTCATTTAGAGTTGTGTTCAAATCTGAAATATGGCCTAGCTGGAGGCAGTAGGGGGTCATGTCAGGCTATATTTATCTCTTTGACTGTTGTGGAACCGTAGTGTTGTGTTTCACTTAGTCATCAGAAAGAGGGGAGCTATACCCAGATGTACTCTGAGTGAAGAGTGTGTGCATGTTTCTCCATGCAACTCATCCATCCATGTTATCACTGCAACTCACTGTTTTTCAAAACCCCCTCTTTTGTTATCATAGTTGCCCCCATTTCTAGTGGCACCCCGAGGATATCGCGCTCCAACAGCATAGGCCCCCCCGGTGAGTTGGCTTGCGATCTCTATGGAACCTCCCCCCTGGGCAGCAGCATTTCCCTGGCTGACCGGCCAAAGAGCATGATGCGTTGTGGGTCTTTCCGCGAACCAGGAGATGATGGTGAGCGTGCCCCCCCCCCCCCCCCCCCCCCCCCCCCCCTGTGCAGAGGAGTTACACAACATGACCTAAAAAACATATTGTCCACTGACAAAGGACACAATCTGTTAAGCAAAATGTCGAAAGAACATTTTTGGTACTTTCATTTTAGATTAAAAGGGTCCTGTTGTGCTTTTTGGGGTTTTCCCTTCCCGTATTGTGTTATATAGGTTTTTCTGCATGTCAATAGTCTGCAAAGGCAAAATCCCAAAGTTCCCTCCACAGGGAGTTTCTCTCCCACACACTCTCCCCTGCCTGAAACTCAGGACTCCCTGGTTTACTTCCGTAACATAGTGACATCACTATGCAACACTTGCGCTTCTATTGGCTAGCGCTCCAACAGATTGTATGTGATGAGATGGGACACCTCTAAGCAGTTGACCAGTCACAACAGAGCCGGCCAGCTAACCAATCAGAGCAGACTGGGCTCTGGTTTCGGGTGAAAAGAGCTGCAGCAGCACAGGCAGTATGAGAAAAATAAATACAAGTTAAATACAAATAAAGACCCTTTTGAACATTAAAGCATGTAAACATGTCACAGTCGAGGCACCAAATACAAATATGAACCTGAAAATGAGCATGCTAGGGCCCCTTGAATAGTGAGTAATATAAGGACTTGAAGGCACTACCTGTGGTCCAAATGTAGACATAACAGGAGGGATGATGAATATTATAAACCTGCTTTCACTTGCAGCCATTTTAATAAACATTTCACGACAAAAAGTTTGGATGCGATAGCAAAGCTTTTTTTACATCACATTTTTACACCATGTCTATGAATGTGGCTGCTATGACTTGTACTTAATTTACTGACTGCGTTTGAGGTATTCCATTGTCTTCAGGGTTGTCAGCATTATTTATGACTGGGGATAGCAGGGAAAACTGTCAGTTATATAAATATTAAGTCAAATCTCTACCTTGCTTGTTTCAGTGCATGGCTCTGTGCTCTCTCTGGCGTCCAATGCTTCATCCAACTATTCGGCGGTGAGTAAATACAGTCATTATATTTACAGTTAATGTTACTTTTGCTATAGTTTAGTGCTTTGTGACTCCAGTTAACACACTGTTCTGTCATCAAGAGGAAAAGTAATCAATTACGAAAGTTTGTACAGTATTAAATAGTTTTTCAGTGGCCCTACAGTATTTAGAACTATTCAGGGATAATTTGACTTTTTTCAAGCAGGGGAAGCTTGCATGTGTAATATTCAGTGAACTTAAATCCTTGCCTAGTAAGTAACACAAAGCCACTGCTTTCTGTGATTCAACAGCTTGGTACCTATTCTGACTTTTTATTACACCATTATTGTCCCTATACAACTTCAGTGATGTGCCTTTTACTGTTGATAAGTAGTTTTCCTTATCCCTCTTTTATTGTTCATTTCCACCATGCCTTCTCTAGAATGAGGAGAGGATACAAGGGGAGGTAAGGCCAACGTGCCACCAATCTTCAACTCACATTGTCTCTGTCTCGTCTGTCAGTCATTTCCTGTTGAAACGGGTCCATTCATAAGATGATGTTATCAGTACTCAGGGTCTCATAACTGAATTCATTTTGTTTTATCTCTAATATCTGTTATCGTTATCCACCACTTGCTAACATTTCATAAAGACATTGTCAGACCCAATAACGTTCCTAGTGCATGAGAAAAGTGTTCAAACATTGTTTATTTAACATTTTCTATTTGTTCTAATGTGTCATTTTGGTTTCTTTTATAGTTTGTTTTGGGTTATTCTTTTTCCTTAAACACTCAAAACCAGTTTGTTTCAGCACATTCTGATGCTGCATTAATGCAATATATATCCTCTACACGTTTGCCACCTTGTCTGAGGTTCTTTTATACATTGCACATGCAGCTTGGGCTTACTCTTCAATTTGTCCACAGCAAATCCGCAAGTTGAGGCGAGAGCTGGAGTCTTCCCAGGAAAAGGTTGCAGACCTGACCATGCAGCTGAGCGCCAACGTATGTATGATTCATCTCTCAAAGATGCGCCTTTTGCCTCTTTTCATTTATTTATGTTTTGGAGGCATGCCGATCTTTTATCAGTGTGCGATATATCTAACAGCTAGATTATAACTTCTCAAATTCCCTGGCGTTTTATCCGACAACTAACTGAGATCCAGAAACTATTTAACAGGTGTATCTAATATCTGAACCACATTTTTCAGAGGGTGCGATGTAGGGAAGATATGGTGTGAATCTTTGCTCATGTAAGGAAATGAGTATCACTGGGGATGAATCTGGATGCCGAGGCATAACTCTGGCTGATATTCAGGGAGGAAGGATTACAAGCCACAACCTTTCTAGGATCTACGAACCTATTCCAAACTCTGGGATGTTGACAATTTTATTTGATGATGGCATCTAAAGAAGGGAAAACAACGTCTCCAGTTGAAGTTGGTCGTCGGCTCCTTAACCCCAATATACATTTCTCTCACTGTCACTCACGTCTTCACACTGTTATCATTTTCAGCTCTGCAATCTTGATAGAAACCTGTTTAACCTTCGACTGAATGATTGTATGCCCCTGCTTCTTACTGTCTAACCCCTGCAGCTTCTAGATGCTTGAGTCTGCCTGTTTTCATCTCAACTTATACTTTTAAACCACCTAATCACTGATCCCGATCTGATAGACATTCAGTATGAACTAAAGTCTCCTATTGCACATTTTACCAACTGCCAATGCTTAACTTAATGGGTGTTCAAGTGACCGTGTCAAGCATATATTTGATTGTTTTCCTGTATATGATTCTGCCATATAAGTCTATTCCCACGCCTAACGCCAGTGTCCCTCTCTTTTACTCACTTGGACGTGTTCCCTGCTGGACTTGCTGCTCCCCCCTGCCTGCATCCCTCTGACCCGCACCTTTGGATGCTGGGTGTAGCAGCTAGGACAGGTTTGTTGGACTGTTGCTTCCAGAGAGCTGTCTGTCGCTGCTGCATGATTCTGTGGACCTCAAGCTTAGACGTTTGCCACCATCTCACTTCTATGTTAGGCTCACTTTGCATGTGAACATGTTGGCACCTAATTGGATGACCCCTAGTCTCCTAGCTAGTGTCTTTATATTTCTCATTTGTTCTGACCCCAAACAGTTGAAAGATATTACATTTACAAAAAAAATTCTGAGGATATCCTGAAAAAAACGCAAATGTTTGGATATATATTTGTTTATATTATATAAATACCTCAAACAATTATGAAATTATTACTTTTTTTCTGTCAATCGACTTATTATTATATACACATTTTCACAGCACCAGTTTCTGTTTCATTTCATTTGGTGGGTAAAAAACAAGCCATACTAAGAGAAATGTACTTTGAGAAGTTTGAGATCAGGACTTCAAGGTGATGAAAAAAACAGTCAAATTGATAGCCTAGCCTGCTACACTTTTATTGGGTCACTGTGTTTGTTACAACCACCATGTGTGCTCTCATGATGCCTTGAGATAAATGGGACCCAAAAGAAATACCTAAGCAAGGTACCATCAAAAAAACATAAAGAAGTGAGTAATAGCTGACTGAAGGCTGGTTATTTTTAACAAAAGCTAGCCACAAATTCTGGCCAACCACACAATGTGCTCGAACTATAAACCCCCCCAAAAAACATAACCTAACAAAAATAAAGCAGCAAAAAAAAGAATACCTGACCCATCATTCAAACAAACTTGCGTAGAATCTGGAATGTCTTAACACGTTTCTTAGGATGGTGTCAGCCATATATGTTGGTATATTTGTAATTGTTCACTTAATCAGCAGAAATAGTGAGAGACAGCCCTGCCTAAAGGTCAAACTTGTTACATGATTTGGACAGGTTTGTCCTCGGGCACTACACCGGTTTCCGCCCTCACCACCACCACCGTCCTCTTTCATCTCTGACATCATCCACAGCTGTCCACTGCCCCCCCCCCTCCCTCCTCTCCCAGCAGATGGACAGAGCTGCTGCTTGATGTGATGTGAGCGTGTGAGGCTGCAGAGAGATTTGATGCAGCTGGTGACTCATAGCTGTCTGCTGTCTCACCCCCCCAACTCTCTGTCTTTTTGTCTTCTCTAAAGGCTAATCTGGTAGCAGCATTTGAACAGAGTTTAGCGCTGATGACGGCGCGCCTGCAGACCCTCTCTGTCTCCTCGGAGCAAAAGGTATCCATCACTGTGCTGATGAATTAAAGTTATTCATCAACTAGAATATATATACTCAGGCATTAAAGATGTGATTTAACATGAAAAAACACACAATAAGTCACACATGTATGAGATGAAAACAAACGTTTACCTTTTTTATTTATAATTATATAACAATATTAATAAAACACATACTTATTATAATATGGTGATTATGGGCAGTTTTGATAAGGGACGTGACAAAACACATATTTTCAAAGTTAGTTTCATACAAACTAATTACTTTATTGTCAAAGAGAACACCCAAGTTATTGTCTCGTAAACATATGACTACAGAAATGTAACCCCCCACCCCAGGCTCTTTCATTTATTTTCATTAACCTACAATGTCCCTAATAGGCCGTTTGAAATACATGATGATGATGATGATAATGATGATGATGCTGATGATGATGAGGATAATCTATTAGTCTGTGCTAATAGATCATCGTTCAATGCTTTATATTAGATCCCGTCAGAGAATGAGCAGCTTCCAGGGGACATAGGGGTTCTGGAAATGAGTTGTGGGTCAAAGGTTAGTAGGTATAGTAGGATTTCAATGTTGTCTTCAGCCACCCCCCACAAACAACCCTGTCATCCTTGTTGAAAGCCGATCGACCTTCCATCATTTTTGGTTAAGAGAAATGTTAGATGAGTTACCAGCCTGTAAACTCACATGATCATATGTTGGTATATTCCTTTTTTAGGACTCCGAGCTCACTGATCTGAAGGATACCATCGAGGTTCTGAGGGTCAAAAACTCAGAGGCCCAGGAAATCATTCAGGTGGCTCTCAATACTCCAGAAATTGCACCTAAAGGTACAGAACGCGCTGGGGATGTAAAAAACTAAAAACACATTCAAAGATAAAGGTAGAAATGTAATAAGCTTTCCTCTGATATTCATGCACTTTTTCCTTCTGGTATTAAGAAATGCCGATCAATCGCCAGAACTCCTCAGAAAGCATCTCCAGCCTGGCCAGCACCTCCAGCCACTCCAGTATGGGCAGTCTGAAGGAGCAGGAGGCCAAGAAGAAGAAGAAGAAGAGCTGGGTGAGAACCAAGGGCAGAGTGCAGAGGGCACAGTGTTTAGAGATACTGGCTGAAAATACTCCCCTTTGTGGTGAAAGTAGATAATAATAATAATAATAATAATAATGATAATGATAATGATAATGATTATTATTATTATTATTATTATTATAGTTATTGTTATTAATTATGATAAATAATAATAACAATGATATTGATACTGATACAATAATTATAATAATTATAATATTATTGTGCTAAATTAGATACAAATAACAATAATAATGAATATGTTTATTATTGTTATTAATAATGATAAATTATAATAATGATACATTATAATAATAATACCACATAAGAATAATAATATTATTGTGGTAAAGGTAGATACAAATAATGATATAAAAATAATAGTTATGATTATTGCCAATATTATTACAATAATAATAATTGTTATTATTATTGTTTTTTGTATTGTTTTTATTATTACTTTTTATGGTGATAATTATTATTATTTTGAAACAAATTTTTGTTTGCAGTCTTTCATAAGGCAAGGCAAGGCAAGTTTATTTATATAGCACCTTTCAACACAAGGCAATTCAAAGTGCTTTACAAAAATGAAAGACATTAAGAGCATTAAGAAACATATTATAAAATGATATCTAAAAACAAAAAAAAGCAATGATATAAAATGACATTTAAAAGCAAAGATAAAAAGCAAAGATAATAAAAGTTACAGTGCAGTTTAAGATATGAATATATCAATTAAAAGCAGCGGCAAAAAGAAAAGTCTTCAGCCTGGATTTAAAAGTAGTAAGAGTTGCAGCGGACCTGCAGGTTTCTGGTAGTTTGTTCCAGATATTTGGAGCATAATAACTGAACGCTGCTGAACCATGTTTAGTTCTGACTCTGGGGACAGAAAGCTGACCCGTCCCAGAAGACCTGAGAGTTCTGGATGGTTCATAATTTAGCAGTAGGTCAGACATGTATTTTGGGCCTAAACCATTCAATGCTTTATAAACCAGCAGCAATATTTTGAAATCAATTCTTTGACACACAGGAAGCCAGTGTAAAGACTTCAGAACAGGAGTGATGTGATCCACTTTCTTAGTGTGAGTGAGGACTCGAGCAGCGGCGTTCTGAATCAGCTGCAGCTTTCTAATGGATTTTAGTGAGACCTGTGAAGACACCATTACAGTAGTCGAGTCTACTGAAGTTTTTCCAAATCCTGCTGTGACATTAGTCTTTTAATCCTAGATATATTCTTAAGGTGATAGTAGGCTGATTTAGTAACTGTTTTAATGTGACTGTTGAAACTCAGGTCAGAGTCCATGACTACACCTAGATTTCTGGCTGTATCTGTTGTTTTGAACATTGCAGACTGAAGCTCAGCGCTAACTTTTATACGTTCTGCCTTGGCTCCAAAAACCATTACCTCAGTTTTATCTTTGTTTAATTGGAGAAAGTTCTGACACATCCAGTCATTGATTTGTTCAATGCACTTACTCAGTGTTTGAATTGGAGCATAGTCTCCTGGTGAAATGGTTATGTAAATGTGTGTGTCATCCGCATAGCTATGGTAACTTATTTAGTTGTTTTTCATTATCTGAGCCAGTGGTAACATGTAGATGTTAAAGAGAAGAGGCCCCAATAATGAGCCTTGAGGAACCCCACATGTCATATTTGTCAACTCAGATGTGTATTTACCTATAGAAACAAAGTTTTTGCTGTCCTTTAAGTAGGATTCAAACCAATTTAGAACTGTTGCCGAAAGTCCCACCCAGTTTTCTAGTCGGTCTCGTAATATGTTGTGGTCAACAGTGTCAAATGCAGCACTGAGATCTAATAATACTAACACTGAAGTTTTGCCACTGTCTGTGTTTAAGTGGATGTCATTGAAGACCTTAACAAGAGCAGTCTCAGTGCTGTGGTTTGGACGAAAGCCTGACTGGAACACATCGAAACAGTTATTTAAATGCAACAAATTACTCAACTGTTGAAAAACTACTTTTTCAATGATTTTACCTAGAAATGGGAGGTTTGATATGGGCCTGTAATTGTTCATTACTGAAGCATCTAGATTATTCTTTTTTAAGAGCGGTTTAATGACTGCCGTTTTTAGGGCCTGTGGAAAAACACCTGAGTGGTGAGACTTGTTTACTATGTGAAGTAGATCTGAGGCCATGCAATGAAAAACATTTTAGAAAAATCCTGTTGGAATAATATCAAGGCAGCAGGAGGAGGATTTCAGAAGTTGAATAATGTCCTCTAGGTTTTTATCATTAATCTGATGGAATTGTGTCATGGTGTTTGAATTGATATTAAGTGGACACAGGGACAAAACATCTGCTGTACCTGATGCAGAGGCACTGACTGCTTGTCTGATTTTCTGAATTTTGTCAGTGAAGAAGGAGGCAAATTCATGGTAGGCCCTGGTGGATAGAAATTCAGAGGCTACTGACACTGGGGGGTTTGTTAGTCTGTCAACGGTAGCAAATAAGGCACGTGCGTTGTTTTTGTTTTTGGCAATGATGTCAGAGAAGAAAGACTGTTGTGCAATTTTCAATTCCAAATGATAAATGCCAAGTCTCTCTTTATAGATTTCAAAATGAACCTGGAGATTTGTTTTTCGCCTCCTGCGTTCAGCTTTTCGACACTCTTTTTTCTGTTTTCACACTCATAGCCTTTCTCCATGGAGATATTTTCTTGCCAATTACTTCCTTTACCTTAGTTGGAGCAATGGCATCTATAACATTTTGATCTACTAGCTCATTTACTAAGATCTTAGCAGGGGCAAGTGTGGAAGAAAAATTCTCAACATTTCCCTAGTATTTTCAGTTAAATATCGCTTTGTGGTTACCTCTTTTTGAACATTTTTGTGAACAGAAATATAGCTCTCAAAGAAAACACAGGAATGATCAGAGAGTGCAACATCAGTCACCTCAACCTCAGAGATATTCAGACCCTTTGAGATAATTAAGTCCAGTGTGCCCCTTATTGTGCGTGGGCTCCGTCACATGCTGAGTCAGTCCATAGTTATCAAGAACACAAAACAGTTCTTTAGCCCCTCTGTCCTGGGGGTTGTCACCAACAATGACTAGACGGTCAAAGTCAATACACACTATAGACAGCAGTTCAGTAAAGTCATCAAAAAAGCTTGCACAGTATTTGGGTGGTCTATAGATATTTAGGAACAGAGCTCGAGAGGAGCATTTCAGCTGAAGGGCCACATATTCAAAAGAAGCAAAGTTCCCATAAGATGTCTTCCTGCATTGAATGGAATCATTGAACAAAATAGCAACTCCACCCCCTTTCTTATGCATTCTTTCCTGACTCATAAAACTGAAGTTGGGAGGTGTTGATTCGATAAGAACAGCTGCACTGTTATTTTGTTCAAGCATAAAATCGAGATTGTGCTCAGTGATAAAATCATTGATTAACAATGTTTTTCCTGCCAAAGACCTGACATTTAATAAAGCTAGTTTAAGTTCGTTAAATACACTATCAGTCAGATTCTTTGTGACAAGCTGTGGCTGACATGGAATCACTGCTAAATTTGATAAACTCACACAAACGTTTGAGCGCTTCTAAGCTGATTCACCACTCTCAATCTATTACCTATCAACACAGATATCGGCAAAGCTACTGGCAGGCATAAATCACATTTTTATTCAGATCATCAGAGAAATAAATTATAGTTATTAAACATTTTTTATTATTGAAAAGTTCAGCTTGTCTGGGTCAAATTAATTTGAACACAGTACAGTAGGTGAACTGTGGTGCTATTATCCTTTTTTTTAATCATGTTATATTCGTTTTGAAAATATATCAAGTCAGTTAGCCGCTGATCTTATTTGTTTACTCCCTGTGAGCGTGTTCCTGCATTTGTGTTTGTATGTCATTCTCGTCCTATCTAGTTCCAAATCTGTTATTAAGTATGACTCTGGTCTCTCCCTCATGCTGCCCTGCCTGCTTTTTATTTTAGGTCTTTGAGGTGAGTGATGTTGCTACAGTAAATAAACCCTAAACACCTTCTCCCCGTTTCCAGCCTGCATGCCCTTCATGAGTCATACTTGTAAAACCTTTGGAAACTCTCTGTCATCTGTGTTTTTATACACCTGATCCATAGAAATATATTGTACCATGTTTTGACCGTATTACATTGTAGTTATGGTTTTACGGACTGAACAAATTACATTAAATGGTTCTGTATAGCTTTAAACGGTAAATGAACCTGCAACTATATAGAACATTTCTCACCTCTAAAAGCACTTTACAGTGCATCCAAACACTTGCCTATTCATACATTTTGACAGGGCATCCGTGCAATGTGCCACACTGCTCATCATCTAAACTAGTGTTCATTCACACACACTCATAAAGCAATTCAAGGGCAGCTAGGTTTCCAGTATCTTGCCAAGGAAACTTTGTCATTCTGACTGGAGGAGAAGGGAATCAAACCGCGTATCTTAGGATTTGTGGACACTCTTCCTCATGAGCAATAGCCTGTTCAATGAGAACATAAAAAACATAGTACTTGCTAAAGGTTAAAAAGGAAATGTGTGGATGATACCTCTCATCTCAACACAAGTTCTTTTAACAATTGCTTTTTAATTGTTTAATACTCTGCTGCGATTTCTTTAGACGTATCCTTGATTTCAGTCTCATTTCTCTCTCTGTACAGTTGCGCAGCTCCTTCAACAAAGCCTTTAGTAAGAAGGGCTCCAAGCAGTCAGGGCCATACGCTGACATTGAGGAAATTTCCACCCCAGAATCCTCTGCACCTTCCTCCCCCAAAGTGCACTATGGTGGAGACAAAACCTCATTGTCAATGAAATCCTCAGCCTCTGCATCATCGTCAGGGTAAACCTCTGTCTTTAAACTACAACGTACATCGCAACAGAAACAAATTATAATTGTATTATAGCATTTCAATATAATAAATGTTATTCCAAGCTGCCAGTGTAATGATCCTTGCCACCTTCACATGTCTCTAATGTTGTCATATTTGATCTGAATATCTCCAGACTCTGTGAGGAAGGCGAGGAAGGCGAGGAAGGCGAGGAGGGCGAAGAGGGCGATGAGGGCGATGAGGGTGATGAGGGCGATGAAAAGGTTGTAACAGGACTGCGCACAGAGCTGTGGGAAAAGGAGCGCAAACTGACAGACATCCGGCTGGAGGCTCTGAGCTCGGCCCATCAGCTGGAGCAGCTGCAGGACGCCATGAGCAGCATGCAGGTACGTGTCATATGTTGCTTTTGATATTTCATGGAAAATGTCCTCACTATAACATTTGTTTTGTTGAGTTTCAGAGGTGATTAGGATGTCAAACTTTTAATTTCTTTGCAACTATCTGGAAAGGATCTCATATATAACGTGTGTAAACTGTATTTGTGTGCTGTTATATTTTGTTAACTGTCAAGTCTAACTGCATTATTTAATATTTTAAAGAATTGGTGTTGTGTTGGTTATTATTACAGATCTTTTGAGCATGCAATCAAAAAAATCTCAGTTGTTTGATTGTCAATTGGAACTTTTTTTTAAATGACTGTAATGATGGGTGGTTCATATACTTGGGCTCTTTCCCTGTGCAGAGGACCTGGATTTCAATCCAGCCTGTGACCATGTGCCGCGTGTCAACCCCATCTGTCTCCCCCTTTCAACCCTTGTCACTTCAATAAAGGCACTGATGGCCCGAAAACATATTTTATTTCCTTTTATTTGAATGACTTTAACTCTTGTAATTGTGTCTGTAGTCAACAGTGGAGAACCTGAAGGCCGAGAACGACCATCTGAAGACAGGCAGTCTGTCCCCCTGTCCGTCTCCGGGCCCCTCCAGCTCCGTCTCCCAGTCCTCAGGTCTCACTGCTCTGGGAAGTTCATCACCTCGGCAGTCCGTAGCCATGCACATGCCCAAAAGCTACAGCAGAGGGCTGAGTGAGGGGGGCAGCTCAGGTACAGCATGTTGACAATGTCAGAATGGTGTCACCAGTTTTGTAAACAAGTAGGCATGTGAATAATCTGCTGATTCTACAGTGTGAACGGCTAATACGTATGAATGAAAGGATTGGACGGTCGTTAAGGCCACTTTTAATGAAGGATTGTGTTATACTTAATGCGCAAATGTGTGTTATGTTGACCTTCTTATTTTGACTCCCTGGCCCGTCAATCATCTCATTTATGTATTTTATATGTGCACCTTCTACAATTGACAAAACCTATTTATTATCTGCGCTTTGGTTCAGTTCAGGGTATAAAAATGAATTGCCAATTGATATTGTGTCTAGAAGATAAGCTCCCCTTCTCTTATTTTGAATGTCAGATGTCCATTTCAAATCTTCACCCCTCGCTTTCAAATATGTTTTCTCCTGTTAGCAATGTGTTTAAGGCCATACTCTTTGCGACCTTTTTTTATCATGACACTTCATTGGGCTCAGTACTTATTTACTCAAACAAACGTTGTGCTTACATCTTGATGGGTCATGCATTAATGTGTGTTCATGCTATGTGAACTTTCTTTCTTCTTCTGTTTCTGCCCTCTGCAGACCTTTACTCTGCAGATACCCTCAGTCTCTCCTCACAGAGGGATGATCACCGTGTTAGGGTGGTGATATGTGTTGCAGATTTACGCGTCTTCAAAGATGTAAGTTTGTTGTGTGTCATCTTACTTTTTCCATAATAAAAGTACAAAGTAAACATCTGAACTATATTGCACTTCAGAACTCCCAAAGATACTTCCCATCGGCGGCGTAAGAAGTACTCAGAACTTAATTTAGATAAAAGTGACATTACTACACTGAAGCAATACTTCATGCACTAAAACTCTTACTTTGGTAAAACTACAAGTATTTAAAGTAAAAGTTCTCATTATGCATAATGGCCCAGTTCAGAATCCTGTATTACTGTATTAATATTTGAAACATACATGTTGCAGCTGGTAAAGGCTTATAGCTCATTTCAAATACATAAATGCATACTTAAATATTTTTTGTATAAATACTTCTTGGTCATCATTTTTATTTGCAAAGTAACTTCTATAGTGAAGTAAAAACTACAATATTTGTCAATAAGTATAAAGTAGTAAAAAGTGTAAATACTCAGTTACGAAATACTTAAATAAATGTACTTAGGTATTTTTCACTGTTTTTCATGATGTACAGTAGGATACTCAGAATCCAAGTAGCTATACCACATTTTAGAAAATACTCTTATACAATCAATTCCTGCAAGTACCAAAGTATTAGCTTCTGAATATACTTTAATTATGAAAAGTAAAACTTCTCATTATTCAGAGTGACCCATTTCAGAATCTTGTGTTGGATAAATCATTTGTGTAAACTTGAATATTGCAGAAGAGTTGATAATTATTCATAATATTGCACGTAAAAGCAGGAGGTTAAGCAGCAGGATTTCTTCGTCGGGACGGTCCGGGTGAACGGCCGGATGGACTGGCCCATGCTGGACTCGGCTGTCAGCCAGGCCTTCAAGGTGAGACCCTTCCTCTGAAGACAAATGTAAGCAGGGACTGAATGTACAGTTTGCATCCAGCACAATTCAGCTGTCACATTTGGAATGTGTTTACTACAGACACTAACCGTTGGGAAACTATGTTGCAGAAATAGCGAATAGAAACACGTTGTACTTCTTGATTTATGAAGAGGCAAACACTTAAAAGAGGTATTTGACTTTATTGTAAGAGGTCATTAAACCAGATTATCACCATTGACAAGTAACAGAAGTTTGTCAGCTCTGAAACACATGCAGCGCTGTCTGTCTGCACACACTGAATTCTATTAAGATGAATTAAATCAGTTCACATCTTCTGCTTTGTTTTACTTCTAGGTGTACATTGCCAAGGTGGACCCCAATTCTAGTGTGGGCCTCTCTACAGACTCAATCTACAGTTACAGCATGGGCCACATTAAGAGAGTGCTGGGAGGAGAAGTTCCAGAGACGCAGCCCTCTCGCTGCATGTCCCGAGGCCCCAGCAGCATCACAGTGGCCCTGAAAGGTCTGTATACATGTCAATTATAATATAATTAGAGATTTGCAAGAAAATAGCCTATAAAATAACATCTCCTAACACAAAGTTGATTTCAGCAAAACATTAACAAGTTTAACCAACAGTAAAGGCTCAAAGACATTATTCTGATCATCTAACAAAGCTTTAGACTTTTTAACCACTATTCAATCAGAATTTGGACTGATGAGATAAACTTCCATTTCTCAAGTACTCAAATGTTGTTTTTGAGCAGTAGAGCATTTTGGAGTCAGTCCAGCTTCTATTTTCAAAGCAATCTCTTCAATTCAGAAACCACTACATTCTGGATTAAAAGCTTGTGTCTACAGCAATACGATACATTGAGGAATACATGTCAGGTTTCTTAGCATTAGCTATGCTGTGAAGTGTTAATCTGTTGATCTCAACAGTCAAATCCTAGTCTCGACAAAGTGCAGATCCTCATGCCTGTCTGTTTATTACACTAAATTTAAACCTGTCTCTCTTCATTGCCATTTGATCCAGATCCAATTATGCTTACTTTAAATAAACAACTCTCATTTACATCCAACGTGCATTCAGTTACCTGGAACTCTGAGCTGTCCTCATCATCGACCAAAACATAAACTCACACGACCCCATGGCATCAGAGGAACTCATTAGTTGACCAACGTCACGTTGTGCTTCCCAGTTTTATACTGTGTCATTTTCAGCCATAACTATATGTTTAAACTAATGTAAGGACCTGCTGTAATACATTTAAACCACAGACACCGATTTTAAAATCATAGTGTATCTTCTAACATTAATTTTCAAAAAGTGTTTGCTCACCAGCCTCAATGTTCGACAATAAGTAAAGTCAGCGTAAACAATAAGTTTTTTCCTTGATAATGAAATGTAAACAGACAAATTCCATCATAAAGACCAGGCTTCCTGACACTGTAAGCCCTTCTTTTTCTTCAACTGACACAAACAGTTGACCACTCATTGTCAGAAGTTGATTCCAGAGCTGTCTTTGAGCATGTTTGCTCTTAAGGCAGATTGAAAACTTAAAAATCTACACCCTTCACACAACTGTTTTGCTTTTGGATTTGCACATATGTGAAGCCAATCAGTTATTCTAAACCCATGCTGTGATCAAGGAGGTTCGGGTTTGATCGTCAACCCCTCCGCACCTTCTGGATGCAGGAATGTAAAGAGCAAAGTGCTACAGCGGCCCAGACAGGGCCGAGAGAAACCTGATCCCAGTGCAGCCAGGCCCAGCTGGTCAGCCAGTCTCAGACACATGGGCCCCAAAGATGTGGAGGCGGAGAATAAGACTACTGCGGGCTGGTGAGAGGGGGGAGACTCCCTACACTTGATGCAAAGTTATTTTCAGAGCCAAATACTTAGGCTTAATGTTCCTTATGAAGGACATGCAAGGTGAAATTAATCTTTTTAACATATTCTTTCCCAAGCTTGTAGAAGAGTCTTCAACATATCTAAGTTCTCCCACACTTCGCCGCTCCTCCGCTCCCTTCACACGGCCCAAAATGCTTTCATTCAGGACATGATAAAACCATTCACTCCAGCACATTAACTTTACTCTTCTTCGGCCAATGGGCTCCCTTCAACAGAAAGATCTCCATTGATATCAGGACAGCAAAAAGTCTGCTCATCTTCAATCACAAACTAAAAAACCACCAGTTTTGACCGCATTATTACCAATAAACACACAGAAAAGGTGTGGTAATTATTTACTAATGCAGCAGCACTTGGCATGGTTTGGCTTATTTAAAGCAAATGCACTTGCAAAATTCTTGCTGTTCGGAGTTTGTATTTGAATGGTTTATTGCAGTTATGTAAGTCGCTTTGGAGGAAAGAGTCAGCTAAATGTAATACGATGTCAGCCTGTTTGTATCAAACTACACGTTACCGCCATTTCTCATTTCTGATGTGTAATTAGCAGATATTGATCACATAGTTAATTATCACTTTTCCTCACTTTGTTCAGGTTTGAAGGAGAAGTGTGTGGACAGCCTTGTTTTCGAAACCCTCATTCCCAAACCCATGATGCAACACTACATCAGTCTGCTGCTCAAACACCGCCGCCTCATCCTCTCTGGTCCGAGCGGGACGGGTAAGAGCTACCTGGCCTCCCGGCTGGCTGAGTACCTGGTGGACCGCAGCGCCCGCGAGGTCACCGACGGCATCGTGATGACCTTCAACATGCACCGCCAGTCCTGCAAGGTGACAGAGAGCGACGGCCCATACCAATCTGTTCAACTGTGTGTTATTTGGTGTGCCATGTCAAAAGCTTCCTTTCTTCTTTCTCTTTCTCCTCAGGATCTACAGCTTTATCTTTCCAACCTGGCCAATCAAATCGATCGGGAAAGCAGCGTGTCAGAAATACCGCTGGTCGTTATTCTGGATGATATTCATGCGCCTGGTTCACTCAGCGAACTTGTAAACGGGGCTCTCACCTGCAAATATCACAAATGGTGCGCTCCACTTACTCAGACTGAAAGTAGCCACAAGAGTGTTTATGTGATCACTTATTGTAACATTCTTCCTGTTTTTTAGTCCTTACATTATTGGAACAAGCAACCAGCCGGTGAAGATGATACCGAACAATGGCCTCCATCTCAGCTTCAGGTTGGTTAAAGGAACGGTTGAAGATTTAGTTTCTGTTTTGTCTTTGATTTAATTGCTGAATTGATCCTGATTACACTGAAGTTAGATCTGAAGCTCACCCTGGAGTCAACATGTCAATACAATGAAAATGACATAGTAATTTCTGATTAAATGTGTTTATATGTGATCTGGTACAGTTGTATCTTGCTCAGTGACTCTACTGACTTATGGTTGAGACTATGACACCATGAATACTTATTTTACTAGAGACTAGTAAAATAAGTCTAGACTAAGACTTTAGTTTGACAATCAAAGCGTCTTTTTAACCTACTACTGAAAATATATTTAAAAAAATAAAAGCCTCTTCTACCTTAACAAACAGAAACAGATATATCCTGAATCTCTATATATAAATACAGTTATAGGATTTGTCTGTGAAACTTTCAAAGTAACAGCATTGTGTTAAATCTAACTGATTATAAGATATTGCAATATAAAAACAGTTTTATACATTTGGTTGATTCATAATGCCGCAATGATGAAGAAAGAGGAGAAAGCCACGTGAAATTAAACCACCAAACTGTTTATGAATAATTGATTGTGATGTTGCTGGTTACATTGCATTACATTAAATGTCACTTATCTTAAAGGGGACCTATCATGCACTTTTGCACGTCTTTTATACATGAATATGTGTCCCCGGTGTTCCAGGGAACTTACCAAGTGTCAGAAAACACAACCCTCTCTATTTTCCTCCATACCCAAATCTCTAAAAAAGGGGCTGCAACGGATCTGATAAAAACTGATCCAGATTTGAACACTGTCCTGACGTCAGGACTATTGGGCCAACTCTACCAATCAGGAGGAGACAGCCACGGCCATTGCCGTTCGAAAGCGCTGGAGACGCTGTAGTACATATGCCAGGCCTCTAGATGGTGCTGTTGCTCACAGAATCAGCCCTTGCAAAAACAGAGCTAGAAATTGTCAAATTGAGCAAAATGAGGCATGGCTAAAATGCATGATCTGTTTGGTATTTTGAAAAAAAAAAAGTATAAATATGCCTTATATAGGTATGGTCCTACACTATATTATTCAAATATAGCATGATAGGTCCACTTTAAGTAAACGTTAAATCAGGTGACCTCATCGAAATATTGTAACAAGACAATCCCTACAGGTTGGCCCTTAACTGTAAACTTAAGGATCTATGTTGATAAGTGGGATACTGCATAAATGATCTCATATGTGGCTAAAGAAGTAGACTAGGGATGGACAGAGTTGTTGGTCTGTATGTTGACTTTTCCGTGACTTGTTTTGCATCTTAGGATGGTGACCTTCTCCAACAACGTGGAGCCGGCCAATGGCTTCCTGGTGCGCTATCTGCACAGGAAGCTGATGGAGTCGGAGGATGAGAAGAACTTGACCAACGAGGACCTGATCAGGGTGTTGGACTGGGTGCCCAAACTGTGGTATCACCTGCACGCCTTCCTGGAGAAGCACAGCACGTCCGACTTCCTTATCGGTATGACATTCACTCTTATCAGGACAGGGCAGGGCTGAAAGGAGCTGCATTTCAATTTTGGAGGGAAGTGTTTTTGTATAAATTATGTAGAATAGTTTGTCTTAGTGTTCTTCTTTCTCTTCCTGTGTCTCCTCAGGCCCCTGCTTCTTCCTGTCGTGTCCTGTCACGGTTGATGAGTTTCGATCGTGGTTCATTGACCTTTGGAACCACTCTATTATTCCTTACCTTCAAGAGGGGGCCAAGGACGGCATCAAGGTGAGAAACCACAGATCAAGAAAACGGTCTTGGGCACGCATCAGATTCTTCTCTATGAATTGCTGATGGCTCCCCTTTCATAGGAAATGTTGCGCTCTAATTATACCGTCATGGTATGTTGTGACGCTGCAGGTCCACGGGCAGAAAGCAGTATGGGAGGACCCGGTGGAGTGGGTGAGGGGCACGCTGCCTTGGCCGTCTGCCCAGCAGGACCAGGCCAAGCTGTTCCACTTGCCCCCCCCCAGCATCAGCTCCAGCAGCCCCGGGCAGCCCTGCGAGGAGAGGCCTCACAAGGAGACTCCACCCAGCTCCATGGAATCTGATCCACTGGTGAGAAAGCAACTCCTTTCTGTCAGGATTTGAAGGGCTTTGTGGGCTGTACCAAATAATACTTAGCTCCCAAGCTTTATTGATATTGAATTCCAAACCAACATTTAAAAACTGCGCTTCTTTTTAAAACTTTTATTCTGTTCACACTCTGTATTTCTGCACACATGCTGATAAAGATTAGAATACACTGATGTTATTAGAATAGTTGTGTTTGTTAAATTAGATTCAGGTGTTGGCTAGAAGTCCAAGTGTATTGAACAAACATTAATTCATTGCAAACAATTCCTATCATTTTATGTAACATATTATTTCACCTAATTTCATATGAATTGGTGTTGAGCCTTGAAAATAATATTTTCAATGGGGTCAAAAACTGTTCCATCTCTGGCTTGCCGCGCATTAAGGGAGGAAGAAAATGTAATTTACTACATCTAATCTAATCGGATTAATCATTTTTTTCAGATTGAAGGTTTTGTTTGATAATTTGTTTTGTATTTTAGTGTTATAACAAAGAAACATTTGACAAATCTTCCATGGAAAACCTAAATTATAACTTGGAAAGTAAAAATGGAGACAATGGTACAGCCCTGCAGCTTTGATCAACACCACGGCAATGAATCCTTAAGTATTACTGATTTCTTCACTCTCTCTTTTTTGTTATAGATGGCAATGCTTTTGAAACTTCAAGAGGCCGCCAATTACATTGAGTCCCCAGACAAAGAAGACCCTAGTCTGCCTAAACTTTGAACACAACGTTTTCACTCAGCACTTCAAATGTACAGGTTTTTTTTTGTTGTGTCCACTGTGACGCAGTGCACGTTCAGGAACAAACAATCCCACAGAAAGGTCATTCCCACAGTAGGTTGAAAGTATAACTGGAAAATTCCAAATCCTTTTATTACATACAGTATTTTCAAACGACTGTTCATACGTATTGAATGAAACACTATATTGTATTCCTTTAGTGTATAGTTGACTGGATGACATTCACTTTAGTTCCCTTTACCAACACATTAGCACTCATTACCCTTAGGTGCTAATAGATCACTAATTGTCTCAGTGTTTAGACTTCAGGTGATTTCTGCAACAGCATACATGCATCATGGGATATGTAGTGTTTGTCAACAGGAGATATCATCAATCATGGTGACTCATTTTGGAAAAGAGTATGACAGCATGACAGATGCTACTATTTATTGCACAGTTATTTGGTACATATCTACTGTATGAGTCTTTGAAGGCCAAAATCGTATACATATGCAATGTTAACTTAGCAACCAGAGCAGGTGAAACGGTTCAAATGCCTTAACAACAAAGACGTCACCTCAATTTCAGCAGAGGATACCGGTGCTTTTATAAGATATCATCCCAGCTAAAAAGGTCAGGAATCAGTTATTTCTTCAACTTTCTACACCATCATCTTTTTTTACAATATAAAATTATAAGACATTATAGGACCAATTATTAGTATACTTTTTTCACGTAGTTTAACATCTTCTTTATCAGTTAAATGGCTTTAAGTTTTTTTTTAAATATACTTGCTGTCATACTCTTTTTGCTTAAAACAAACCTATTTATTAGTGATGTGAGTTTTGTCGCTGCGCAGTACCATACTATATTTTTCAAGCACTTAATTTAGCTTTATGAAGTGTCACCAATGTTGCCATGTATATCAGGTATTAGATACTTATTACACAGGGATAACACAACAAACACTCTTTGATTAAACAGATTTAGCAAAAACTATTTGAATCTAAACCAGATTTTTTTATAGGAAAGAGTACATTTGTTTCAAATCTTTTCCCCCATATTCAGAGTAGCTAGTGTATATATGATGTAAATACAATCAGACTACATCACAGCTATTTAATCTATATTAGTTGGTGCAAATATCTAGTATACTGAACCAAATACTGTTCTTTAATCATGCTTCTCGACTGTCATGGTAGTGGTTTAAGTTCAACTCTGAATGTAGAGAAAACACGTATACAAATTGAACATCATCTATCATCTTTTAGGTGCTTTTAAAAGAAGCCTTATCACAAAGCTCCACTGCAACACCATGTCTGAGTAGAGTGACTTTAAAGCTACCTAGGCCCATTTTCAGATTTAATGTCATTATCATCATTAAGTTACATATGGTGCTCTTGAACAACGTCCCAAATTGCTTTAGTGTTGAATAAAGATCACATAGACTTTTCAGGGTAGGTTAAAAAAAGTGTTGTGTGTCCTACAGTAGAACTTTCAAACACTTAGGTCATGTGAAAAAGACCTTGAAGATAATTTGGATATGTTGAAGACATTACGTAGAGATAGTCAAGTCATGTGTGACATTGTATGGTACATCCATGTTGGTGTCAAAGTGAAACTGGAGAGTAGTTGTTCCAAGGCCAAAAGGAAAAGATTTAAACACTTTTTAAGGTACTTTGTGTAGATTTTGTATGTAAAAGATAAGCCCTAATGGAGTAATGGCAGACAGTAGTTGTGCAAGTGTTGTCAAAACATTTCACCTGTTCATTTCATTTTAGGTGCTCAGACTTAACTTCACATGTACATAAATCCTGTAAATGAATGTCAGACCACTTTTATGACAGCTCAATAAGAAAGTTAAACATTTTAAATGCTATCTGAGCTGCTTTTTGCTTTATTCTTGCACAGTTAGGCTGATAACAAAACTTCAAGCTAATCTGCACCTCTGATTGGTCTCAAAAGAAATGAATGAATTAAGGACAAGGAGCGAAAAGATGCCAAATGGACAGTGATCCTCAAACTGGTCACATGGGACTAATGTCAGTTACTGTAAATATTTCAGGTGTTAGACACAACCAGCCCTGGTCTGTTTCTGCAGGTTCCTAAAGCCATCAACTCGAGCTTCTCATCTCATTCACTTGTTGTTGTGCCTGTTGCTCTGTAGTAGCTGTTAATTGTGTTCGCTTACTAGTGTATCAGGACTATGCAGCAACTTCAGGTCTGTCTTTGAGTTTTCATTTGGACCAAATTGCACCACAGGACAAAAGTGAAAGCTTGTATTAAGCAGGAGCCTTAAAGAGAGGACGATGGTTTGGCGTTGCATTGAAAACAGGGTAGATGTACGTAGGTAAAGAAATTAAGCAGTTTGGAAGCTGTGATGTGTGTTTTGTCCTTGATGAATGGCAACACAAGTGTCATAACTGGACTTATAAATGGTCAAATGACGATAAACAATGAAACAAAAAGGTTTAAAAATCGAATTATGAGACTGAAATCAGCACTTCACTGTTTGAATAGTTAATTGTATGTAGAATCAGACCAGAAGGCCAATACAGGTTGCTGAATAGTCATATTTTTGCAAAAGCTTGTTGTGGACTAAGATAAAAAAAAAAAAAATGTATGCAGTATCTAATGTCACTGACGTGGAAATGTCAAGGGTTCCTAAGTGTTGTAAATGCATGTAAACTTGCTGTGTGATGAGAAAAAAAAGTTAACAATAATGTAGGCTATTGTTTAGGAAATTCATGCTAGATAATGTTTTCCTTTGTAATACTCAAAATATTTGATATTTCTTTCCTTCTTTTTCTAAAGAATCCTTTGTAAAACTTAATTTCTCTATTTTGTACAGGGCATCATTGTAAAGATTGTAAATAGAGCAGCATTCTGGATGCGGCAACAATCATTGAGGAGGGGAAACAAACAAAAAATCATCCTTGAGAAAAATGTTTATTTCTTCAGAGTTGGGTCCAAAACATGAATAAGGCATGTTTCTGAAGGCTTTCATCCACCTATCACTGGTCGTTGGAATCAATAAAATACATGTTATATTTACCTGTTGCTTCCTGTGTGTCAGTTTGACAATATTAACTTGGTAATGGGAGATATACAAATAATATTGCATTTACTTTAGGGATGATGAAGGCACTATACTGTACGATTGTTATAAAAGTTTAAAAAAAACAATAAATTTTTTAATATTTATATAATATAACTAATTTGTTTTTAGTAATCATAAGCATTATAGGCCTACCAGATAAATCATGATTATAAATGCCACGGAAAAGCACGATGCAATTCAGTAATTCATGTTTGAGTGATCCATATATTTCTTTAATTGTGTTTATGTTTTCGTACATGTTTCCTTTAAGTAGGCCAACAGTTAGCTCAGCACAGTGAGCGTTAATGAGAGAGACAAACAGTCAGGGGGGTCTGACTCACACTCAGTATCTGTTACATGTAATTCATCAGGGGGCGGGGCTTCGACCTGCCGGGTCCTTTATAAGCCCGCCACCTTTGCACAAATGTCGGCATTGGATCCAGTTTGGAGGACTTAACGGAGTTGGGAATTAGCAGCAAACGCCACAATGCCGTCCAAGCCTGCCCCCATCAAGAAGGCGGCGAAGCCAGCCAAGAAGGAGGAGGCTGCGGAGCCCGCTGCCGCCGAGGCCGCCCCGGCTGAAGCAGCACCAGCGGAGGCAGCACCGGCCGAAGCCGCCCCGGCCCCCGCTGAGGGCGAGGCTGCACCTGCTGAGGCCGCCCCTGCCGAGGAAGAGGCCGCCGCTGCTCCGCCAGCTGAGGAGCCCAAACCCCCCACCCCTCCACCCGCAGAAGGTAATGCACCGAGCGCAGCGCGTGAGCTATGACTTACAATTAATACATTCAATTACTATTTACCTTTTCAGTGGAGAAAACACTGCACTAGTTGTTTAAAGTTTCAAATAAAGCCAAGGTATTCGGTTCACCTCACGGTAAGCACGCGGTTATCTTTGAGCACACGTGTTTGTGCTCAGTAAGTGTAAAGTTGTATCATGGCAGGGTAAGGAGTCGTAGCCATCGACATTAAAGGGTAAAGCATGGTTAACTGCATAAACCGCCTGCTTCACATCACTTTTTTTCAAGTTACTGAAAGTCATACATATTTTTGCGCTGAAGGTGCGCTTTGCTCTCCTTTTGCAAAACCAATGTCAACTTGTATTAACTTGGGAGGTTTTTGCCAATGTGCGGGGTTATACCTCAGTGAAAGCTCCATCTTGATGCCAAACAAACATACATTCAAAATTAAAGAAAAGAGTGGTCAAGGTGGAGGCACTGGTTGCTGTGCTCACTTTCCAGAACTGATGTATAATGCATATTGTCAACACACCTCACATTAAAGAAAAGTGACTACTGTTTCTCAAATGTAACCTCTAATATGTGCTGCTCTCACCCATGAGCTCCTGTTGCTGCAGATCAGCCAGCCGCCGATGGTAACCCTGAGATCTCAGTTACCACCAACAATCTCTGCTTGTTTTAACGTCTCCTTTTTATTTTCATAGATATAACCTCTTTCATAACATTTTGAAAATGTCCTTTCATATTTTCAAAACGTTATGTCTACTGATATCCTCTAACCCCTAATATCAGCTGCTCCGCCCGCTGCAGAAGAACCAGCCGCAGCCCCCGCTGAGGCCCCTGCTGATGGTAAAATCAGTGAATTAACACAGATCTTATAAATGTGTTACAACTTGAATCTCCTGCAGGAAAATCTAACTGTACTAATATTGAATACTTATTTATTCTAACCTTTAATACCAGCTGCTGCTTCCGCTTTAGGAAACAGCCCTTGCTGATAGAAAATCAGTGTATTAACAAATATAATGCATTATTATGAAATGTAAACCCCTTGTGGTAAAGCTAACTTCACTAATGTCTAATTCTAATATCTCCTAACCCCTAATATCAGCTGCTCCGCCCGCTGCAGAAGAACTGCCCGCAGCCCCCGCTGAGGCTCCTGCTGATGGTAAAATCAGTGAATTAACACAGATCTTATAAAAGTGTTCAAACTTGAACCTCCAGGAGTACAATCTAACTATTCTTATATTGAATGTTTATGAATTCTAACCTCTAATACCAGCTGCTGCTTCCACTTTAGGAAACAGCCCTTGCTGATAGAAAATCAGTGTATTTACAACTATAATGCATATTTATAAAAACGTAAACCCCTTGTGGTAAAGCTAACTTCACTAATGTCTAATGCTAATATCTGCTAACCTCTGCAGCGCCTGCTACAGAGGAACCAGCCGCCGCTGAGGGTAAAAGTTTATTAACACATATCTTAAATAAGTATTAAAACTTTAACCTAACTTCACTAATAACTAATGCTCCTCTAACCTTTAATAACAGCTGCTGCGCCCGCTGCAGAGGAAGCACCAGCAGCTGCTGAGGCCCCTGCTGATGGTAAAGCACACTATATAAGATCAGTGTATTAACGCAGATCTTCTATATGTATTAAACCATGAAGCTCCTACAGTAGCGGTGAAGTACACTAATATCTAACACTGATATCTTCTAACGTTTGATATCAGCCGCTGCACCCGCCGCAGAAGAAGCTCCAGCTGCTGTCGCTGAGGCCCCGGTCGAGGGTAACAGCAGTTTATTAACACAGATATAGGTATTTAACCTTGAACCTCCAACAATTAAACTAATAACTAATGCTCCTCTAACCTGTACTATCAGCTGCTGCGCCCGCTACAGACGAAGCAGCAGCCGCCCCTGAGGCCCCCGCCGATGGTAAAGAAAAGAGTGAAACAGCTGACATCTTTTATATAAGTTTATGAATCCTGATCTGTCCACCTCCAACAGTAAAGCTAACTTCACTAATACCTAATACTGATATCCTCTAACCTCTAATATTAGCTGCCGAGCCCGCTGCAGAGGAAGCCGCCGCCCCCGCTGAGGTCCCTGCTGATGGTAAAAAAAATGACATGAGGCACAACAAACACCTTGAATTATTCAAATCTTCAACCTCTTACGTTAAGGCTAACCGCACTAACTGACTTCTTTACGACACTCTGATGCACAGACACATACATTATCATCTGTTACAACATGTCCCATCTGCTTAATGCACTCAGTATTAATATCTAACATTTAATAATAGCTGCTGCCGCTCCTGCCGCAGAAGAAGGTGCTCCCGCTGCTGACGCCGAGGCACCTGCTGAGGGTAAAACAACATGTTGCTGCTCACTCCTCACTAAGAGAAAAAGCTTTTTTCTCTATTTTGTTGCTAGCATTGTAAAGCAGAGAGCTACGAGTAACATAACTGGACTTTATTTGATGCTGAAGCAGAGCTCTGCTTATTACATGCTGCCAATAATAATGCAAATGCCTATCTAACATTAGCTGAAGCTGCTGAAGCGCCTGCAGAAGCGCCTGTAGAAGAGGTTAGACCCGAAACACCTCCCCCTCCTCCAGGTAAAGGTCTATAAAGAAAAGAGACTCAGTGTGATTCCACTTCAATTCACATCTTCTTTTTTTATCACAGTGTAAAAGTAAATAACTGAATGAGCACCTCTTATGGATCTCAACTTCGATTTGTGAATGATTTTATGCATTTCTGCAAATGTCAGTTGAATAATTGACTGTTTTTTGGTTTGCAGAGCCCACAAGCATCCCTCTGGATCTGTTCATTGAGGACAAGAATGACACTTCAGTCACTATCATGTGGAGCCAGCCCGAGGTGATCGGAGACTCTGGCCTGGACGGATACACCATTGAAGTCTGCAAGGAAGGAAGTAAGTCCTGCTTTTGACTGAATAGTGACATGTGCCCAAAAGGGGTCGGATTATTAATACCCTGTGACAAAAATGTCAGTCAGCTGACCTTTTAAATCCTGCAGAAAGCTTTTATATGCACAGCAAATGTATGTATTCCTTACAATCATTATCCTACAAATATCAACAATTACATCTATACTATTTCAGTACTTTTTAAACACACATTGAGGAACATGTTAAATTGCTGTTTTAACGCGGGCCAGCCGTATCGGTTGCAGCTGTCACAGAAGTGTCAGTCGCAGAGTTACATCTCGAGCTTCCTAACTTCTCCATACAAGGAAGGAGGCATGTCAGGAGCTGCTGAGGCTCCTGTTTTTAGACTTACAGCACTAAGCTCATATCAGCAGCCCTTCAATGCAAGCTTGATTTAGCTGCGCACTCTGTTTACACAGAGAACACCAATTTCATGTCTAATAATATAAGACCATTTGTGTCGAGCACAATCCCTCTATCAATTACAAAGCTGCCTGCAGTTTAAACAGTCGGCACACTTTCTGATAACAGTGTAATTCCCATAATAAGGAGATATACAGCAGCTCTGTAAGTGTGTGCTTGTTTTGTGTTATCTTGACATTCAGCTGAGGACTGGAAAGCTGTCAATGAGGATCTGCAGAAGTCCTGCCGCTACGTTATCAAGAACCAGACCACCGGGGACCGTCTGATGATCCGTGTGGTGGCCCTGAACGCCGGCGGCCGCAGCCCCTCCCTCTCCCTCCCCGAGGCCGTGCTGGTGAAGGAGGTCGCTGGTAAGAAGTGTTCACAAAGACATCTCAAAATGTGGTGCTAACAGAGTGTATGTTTCAGTGCAAAGAATGACTTCTTACTCTGTTATTTACCTCTTTATGACCAAAAGCATGTCCTACGTTAAAGTGTCACATCAGAACAGATTTATCATATCAAGAAATAAGCTTAAAGACATTTTTTTTAAATACAAATACTTTACTTGCAATATAAACACTTACTATATACTGTACAGGAATCCACAGCTTCCTTTGAAGCATTGTATGTGCACAAATGCATCAACTGCTATATATATAAAATAAAGCAAAAATGAAAGGTTCTAAATATAAAATGTTACTTTAAAAGTAGTTTTTAGGCCATTTCTCTATGAATTAAAAAAAAATGTTACTCTCAAGATGTTTGCCTCATGCACGTCATGAGTCTGGATCCTAACCTCTACACTATCGAATCACAAACAGTTCTATTTTTGAAGTCCAATAAATGGGTATTCAAAATGTTAATGGGGTTATTACATTAGGAGACATGATCATTTCCATGTAATCTTATGGGATTAAGCTTTCTTTCTCACGCTGCATAGTCTATTACTTCTGTAAAGTTAAATGCATAAAACACAAACTATTTGACACACGTCTGGCCTGAACTTAACAGAGCATTTTATCAGGGGGAGAGGGGCTGTAAAGTGCAGTAGTCAAACTGAAGCAGCTCAGCTATGTGTGCTCTCAGCTGTGCGTGTCCTGCTGGTACATACCTGCAGGGTTAACGGAATAAAACTGTGGCCTTCTCTCACGTTTCCACTTTGACTAGACACACTGATCCTACTAACCACAGTGAGATAACTACTTACTTGTAAAGTAGAGAGGTTTTACTAAAGCCCTACACTTCAAAGTGTTAATTATAGATGTTATATCTAAAATGATTTGTGGTAAAAATGATGATGGGACCCAGAGGGCTTTAAAAGGACGAGCTGCCTTAGTTTGGCTCACTCCCAAATCATCCTTACGGGTAATGGAGAGCCGAGCAGGGAGGGACAGAAACATGATCCCGCCGGACTGGCAATATTTCAAAAGTCCATGTTCACTGGGGGGCCACCACGTCTTGCAACAACTCGTGAAAGGTTTCTGACAAAATGACCACAAAGCTTTATAAAAGAATAGCTGGGATGTCGCTGCTTATTAACACAGATTCTTGTGTAACAAGGGCTTGGCATGGCATTGTCATCCCTGTTAGGAGTCTGATGGAATGTCAGGCTGCACCGCCAGATCTGACAAATGATCTGAGAGGCGAGCAGGTGGGGGGGGATGCTACATTCCAGTGGGTTCACTTGGAGCTCACTTCTCAGGTGACACCCAAATCTCATGACACCTCCAGAGATTCACTGTTTATTTTAAAAACATGCCACGGACTTTACAGGGAGAATGTTCATTAAGGTTAAGCCTCTCTTAATGAAGTGATAAGACTCCTAATATGCCGTATAGTACATGCTCTAATATGCATGGACATTTTAGCTTCACATCACTCTCTTTTACTTTTTTAAACCAAATCATTTATGATCCAGGATCTGTTCACACATCAGTAGCTTTCCTGCTTAATTGTTTTCTGATTTTAATGAATTCTCATACGAGTAACTGAAGTACCCGATGGTGCGTCATGAGGCGAGGTGATATACTCCAGAGTGCTTTCTTTATTTAGAGTCTGGACAAATGTTGCTATGCTGGACTCAGCAGGTGGTGCTTCTCACCAAATCACGTTTACAAATGAGCCGGGGGAGCTTTGGTATCATTTCAAGTGACACTCTGGCTAACTATCCTCATGATTTTCATTTAATGATGATTTAATGGGCTTAATACAGGATGATACATAGAGATGAGCCACCAGGGTAGATCACATCTTTGATATTATCTTACATCTTTATATTATTTTCATTCCCAACCTGAGGATTTACACCTCTTACATTTCGATGTACTTTGTCAGATCAACTTTTTTATAAGGCAATTCTACATGTTATCTTGCATATAGGACAACACATTACACCAGTGGTTCTCAACTGGTGGGTTGCGGACCCGTTTCGAGTGGGTCGCAGATGGTTTTTTTTGGAAAAAAGTCAAACTTTTATTTTGAAGGCCCGATTTTCTAACGCTGTGCATGCAGTAGGCGTTGGACTGGAAGTACTGGAGACCATAAACGGTTTTGAAAACTTCTGTCACGTAGTGATCATCTTCTCAATAAAACATATTTGCTGATTTTGGCCAGAGTCTTCTGGCCAATCAGAATCAAGATTGTTGCCGGAAGTCCTTTATACATCCATCGGTACAACTTCAGATAAAGATGAACACATGAAATATGACCCCCGGTTTGATGATTGACAGGTCACAGAACAATGGGGGCTATCTACCCTACCCACAATTCACACAGACAAGTTCAGCTGTCAGAACAAAGGGAAAAACAAACAATGGCATTAAATATTATTAATATGTCGGGTAGTAATAGATTTATTTATTTTCTTCTCAGAGTGTACCAGAATGCGTAGTTTATATGTTAGTATTTCTAAAAATCTCCTGTGGGGGAGAATCCCCCCCAGACCCCCCTTCTGGGGTTGGGTTTTCAGTATGTGAGCTGAAATGTATCTGAAATGTTATACAGTTCAGCTTTGATTCCATCATCTCATTAAAACTTTTTTAAAAGCATACTTTAGTTCTGTGAAGGGATATAAGGGATATATGCATTGTACTTCACTTTCATTAATATTGTATGCTGAAAAGCGTATATATTACAGCACGATTTTTTATTGAATAGATTTGAGTGGTTAAAATGTTGGGTCGCGATTTATTGACAAAGGAAAAAGTGGGTCCCGAGGCCTGACCAGTTGAGAACCACTGCATTACACTAAACTGAGAAGGAAAAAACTACTGAAGAATAGTGAATACAAAAAAAAAGAATTAAGGCATTTAAAAATAATAGAGTATTTATTTTGTTAATCTTTGCAATATAAACCAACATAAAAATAACTCGAGTACGCTTAACGTAAAAAAAGCACAAAATAAAGCACATAAAGATACAAACATACATATACACCCACATAAACATACACAAAAAGGAACTTTTCCGCTGTCCATCACTCCTGTCCTCAACATTATGTGCAGCTTCTCCTTTTATTGACCTTCATATAATCTATTCTTACTTGTCTTCTATTTTGTGTCGCACCTTTAACTTATCATGCGAATACAAAATGACAGGTTTGCATCACCCTGTGGACAGATACAGAGCCTAAGAGATAAAGAACTTTAAAAAAGGGTTACTTTTACAACCAGTGAAAGCACAGAGACTCACTGATGGCACCAGTGAAAAGTCCCTGGCTAAAACAGGCTTAGATCGGCTCAGTAGGTTTATCGATTTCTTTAAGATTTGTGGGTCACAAAAGAAAACAAGTCCTTTTGGTTCACTCCAGAAATCTCTCAACAGATCCTAACGCTCATTGTGTCTTTTTGAACGGATCCTCCAGTGATACTATAATAACTATTCATTGTTTTTCTTTGTAGATCGTCCCAAGGTCCGCCTGCCGCGCTACCTCAGGCAGAGATACGTCGCTCAAGTTGGAGAGAAGATCAACCTGACCATCCCCTTCTCGGTAAGCTGAAGATCAGTGCGCTTTTCCTTTAAATGCGTCATGAATACAACTAAAGCACTTCTCCTAATTTCTTTATTTTTTAACATATTTATTAGATTTTGAATTGAAGTTGTAGTGGTTTTCAAAGGGCTGCAGCCTGGGCTTCTTGTTTAAAGATTTGTTTGTTCTCTGTGATGTTTGCGACCCCATGTTGCTATAGATACTTTGTCTTTTTATTGCAAACCTAATCTACCTACGGGTACAGATGAATGACCTGAACCTTTGTGATTTTGAACCAGGGCAAACCCAAACCCGTGGTCTCCTGGACGAAAGACGGGCTACCCCTGGACACCAAGAGGGTGATGATCCGCAGCTCGGAGAGGGACAGCATCCTGTTCATCCGCGTGTCCGAGAGGGCCGACTCCGGTGTGTACGAGATGTGTGTGAAGGTGGACGACTTCGAGGACAAGGCTCAGCTCATCCTGCAGATCGTTGGTGAGCAAATATCTTAATACATCATAACTGCTGCTACTTCAATTAATAATAATAATGACCTCTTTAATTGACTTATAAACAACTTAAAAATGATGAATTCTGCCTATATTGCAAGAATTTCATTACTTCTTTTAACAGAGTAACACATTCTAATTATAATATTGGTTTTAAAGCATTATACAAATATTTTACTAAAATGCAACTATTATTTGTAAAACAATAAATGAAGGCAAGTGACAAGCAGTTATAAGGCTTTGTTATAAGTCATTAAAAAATGCTTGACACTTTGTTATTATAATTATTATTAAAATGATTTTAAGTGCTTATGAATATCAGTGCTTTAAGCAAATTATAACGGATATGTCTGTTTTCAGGGCATTATCCACGTGGTTACCAATCAGTTTTAGTTTGTGAGATTAAATATAAAAAACTTGCTTTTTGGCTGTTCCCAGAGCTGCCAGGCCCCCCCGCCAGTGTGAAGGTTGCAGATACCTGGGGCTTCAATGTTGCTCTGGAATGGACCGCACCCACAGACAACGGAAACACAGACATCACAGGCTACACCGTCCAGAAGTCTGACAAAAAGACCGGAGTACGTTCACTTTTCACTTTTACTGGCAGTGTGTGTGCAAGGTCATTATAAAGTGGTGATTATTGATAGTGAATGCTTCCTCTTGCTGTGTCCACAGGACTGGTTCACTGTCGTGGATCATTACCATAGAGTGAATGCCACCATCTCTGACCTCATCATGGGCAACTCCTACAATTTCAGAGTGTATTCTGAAAACAAGTGTGGAATTAGCGAGGAGGCTACAGTTGCGAAGGAGGAAGCCTCAATCGTGAAGATTGGTAAGTTCCTCTTTCATTGTTCATGGAATTCACCCATCCCATCTGCTGAGGAGTTGTGTGTTCAGTTTGGTTGGCCTGATTTTTTTTATTAAACTTGATGATGTGGTGTAGCATAGGCCAGTGAAAAACCTCATTTTGTAGAGGGTCCAAATTAAAGGCAGATACACAAATTACTATTCACTTTCATTGACATTTCCAATGGGGGATTTTCAGTTATCATGTCATTGATACTACCCTAGCCTTCCAATTTAGTTTTTGACAGTTTTAGGACCACTTATGCTATATTAACATGTTTCATCTGATAGCTAGTAGGCTTTTAACTCAGCCAAATAGTTTCAGATGTGGGCACATTTTTTAAATATTGTTTTAAGGTTGGATCAGAAAATATTGGAAATTACTGATGTTGTGTTCTTTAAAGTGAAGAAAACAATTAATCGATTATCAAACAAGTTTCCAGTTTGTTTTTTGTCAATTCACTAATACATTAATCAAATAATTGTTGTTTGGTTCCTATGCAAATGTGATTGATAATAACAGAATTTAACAATATATCTATAATTGACAGGGATGTAATTCTACAGACTTATTGCGCACTATTGCAATTATGCTACTGAATGTTTTTTTTTTAAATACCATAGGGGGGGGGGGGAAAGAAGCTTGGATATTTCTAAGAACTGTTGGGCTACCTGAGATGAGCATGTTTAAAAATGTTAGACCATGTGTATTTAATGCTTTATGTCTGTTTCTCCTCCTTCCCTCCAGGTATTGACTACAAACCTCCAGAGTACAAGGAGCGCGACTTCACCGAGCCGCCCAAGTTCACCACGGCTCTGAACGACAGAGCCACCACCGTCGGCTACAGCACCAAGCTGCTGTGCTCCGTCAGGGGGGTGCCAAGGGTACGTTCACAGTAACACTCTTTATGACGAGTATCAACCTACAGCTACACAACAATAGCACCAGCATTTAGCCGTTGAACTCTGCTGATCAACTTATTTAAAGAAACGTCCTTATTACAAATGTTATATTTGAAATTGAAAAAACTGATATTGTTCTTTATATACTACCTTTGCTTGCTCATAGTTTGTCAAATTCCCAAGACGTAGCTTATGAATTCAATGTTACCAAATCAATTTGACAAATATAAATAAAGTGGGTTTAGGCTTGCTGTAATTAATTATATTATATGGAGGGATTAATAGAAAACAAATGACTGCCTGGATACCTGGTGGTCTAAAAACGTTATAATGTGTGATTTATCCCAGCTGTAATTTCAAACTTCTGAACAATCTTGCACTCACTGTTTCCTTCACACCCACGGTGCCACTTGTCAGCAGCTGAATAACCATTATGTAGGTGGTGAGTGGACGTATTGAGATTTTCCCTCACTCATTCATCCTTCGCTGTCAGTGTGCTGGAGTGGAGAATGTGTGGGATCCTGGCCTTGATAGCCTTTCTGTCTGAGCCTCTCGCTTCCTGTTTGGGCTCCTAATCCCACCTGCTCCACAACAACACAGTAGCATAGATGAGTCTTGATGAGAAGGCTAGAATAGGTATTGCTCCTGAGACAGGAGAAGAGTATGATCAGCAGCAGGAGGAGGAGGAGGGGGGAGTGTGACAGGTCAGCAGGGTCACATGTCAACATTCCCTCATGGGGCCCCAGGCGGTCGTCAGCATGTCAGTGCCATTAAAACTCCCAAACTGGGTGTGTGCTGTGTGTCCACTTCAGTCAAAATGCTTTTTCCAGCCATGTAGCACAACTATAATTAGAAACGACATGGCTGCTTGTTAATTTGTGAGCTGTAAAAATTATAACACATTTTGCTCACATAAGTCTGTTTTTCTTTCTACAGCCCAAGGTTATTTGGATGAAGAACCAGATGATTATTGGAGAAGACCCCAAGTACAGGCAGATCTGCGTCCAGGGTATCTGTTCTCTGGAGATCCGTAAGCCTGGTAACTATGACGGTGGCGTGTACACCTGCAAAGCCAAGAACACTCACGGAGAGGCCATTGTCAGCTGCAAGCTGGAGGTCAAACGTAAGTCAACATCAGAAAAACATACATCAACATTTTTTAACCAATAATGGATGCAAAAATAAATCTTTTCACTTGAAGCATTTGCTTTACGAGTATTTGTATTAACATTTAATGTCTTTGTTTTTAACAGAGATCCCGGTTCCAGATGCAGAGAAGCAATAAGTCAACATTCACATTCTCACAGGTTAGAAATCATCAAATCAAAGGGCCAACCTTTCAAATATACATGATAATAAACTCTTATTGTATTATATTTTTCTACTAAAGTTATATTATGTTCAGTTGCACAGCATGAATATTTGTGAAATCCTTTGAAAGCCATAACAGCCCAAGAACATTAAACTGGATGCTTTGGTTAGGTTGATCTATATGAGTCTTGAGGTGACATCTGCTCTCACCGCGACTTACTCTCCATACATGGAGGGCACTAAACTTGGAAAAGGTTGCTCCTGCCACTGAAAGAGTCCTAGAGGTAGCTCCCATAAATTCAATCTGTGAGGGCTCCTCGTATACTCAGCGAGTTTGCTCTCTGTAGTCACATTTCCTCGACTCAGCAGCAGCAGCACCCACAGTTAAGAAAGTGAGATACAGCAGTTTATCTGCAGGTTACTCCCTCTACACTAACAGTTTAAACATTTGTGGACCTTTATTCTGTGTATTGTTGTAGTTGTATACAATCCAAGATAAACAAATTGCTAGATAAAGCTATTTTTAAAAGTGATTAAAACATAGGTTTTCAAAAATACATAATTTATTGAATACAAATACTTATTTACTTCTATTTTTTAAGTGATTCTGATTCTCTGCTGTCTATACATGTATGTTACAGTGTTGACTCCTTTTTAACACCTGTTGTTGTTGTTATTTGTTCATCTGTTGCACACCCAAATTAGGAGCAGAAGGAATGAGGCCTTTGCAGCATAAGGTGTGTGACACTTTTAGCCTTTCTAAAACTGTCATGAACAATGTCTTGCCCCTTAAAACTACAGTTCATTTATGGAAATACGCTGAAATACAAATCAAGCAATACATATGCACCAAGTAATCAACAGTTGATTTGAACAATTTATTTTACAGGAAGGTGCTGGATTCCTGGAAGAACATGTATATATGGCCGGTGACCACACTATCGAAGGGTTGTTGCCTGTGACCTCTTTCCGAGTGTTACCCTGGGTTATGATGAACAATTGTGTCACTTTATGCCTTTATCGTTCTCTACATTATTAAGTCCACATCCATGTCCACAGTCTGCTTTTTCCCCAACGATACTGTCTACGGTAACTAAATGATCTTCTTGTCAGTCTAACTAGGTGTACACCAATACTTGTTAGGAGAACTACATTTAACATCTACGTGTTTATATCAATAAATAATTTTATTTCTGGTTTTGTTTTTTTTTCAATACAGTGTGTTCTTTAAATTGAAATCTCCATGAAAAGGGTAACGATACAACTTGATATTGTGCTTAACATAACAGTAATTATTCTAAATCCCATAACATATACTGTATGCATATTTTTATTAATAAATGAATAAAATGCTTTAAAAAATGTACAATCTTGCATTTAATTTATATTAATGTTATTATTGTAGTTTTGGTTTATATTGATTTAAATTTGCTGAAGTTCAAGAATTTGATAACACTTTATAATGTGTAATTTCTGATATATTCCCTATTCATCCTAAAATTCCTTAGAAAGAATGATGTCATTTGGCACTAAACTAGAAGACATCCATGTATCCATTGAACATGCAAAATCACATGCATACAATACAATATTTATAACGAGTACATCCTCCAATAATAAGTGAATAATAAACTGATATTTACTTGGGTTCAAAGTAAACTCCTCTTGAAGTTAGAGTTACAAATAAATACTTTCATAGTTTACTTTTATATAAAATGCATTAAACACTGCTTCTGACAGGCTGCTCTAGAACTGTATCTCAACATTTAGTACATCCCTAAAGTAACAGTCGGGTTCCTGCTGAACATGTGTAGCCCCTTTGGCAGCACCCAGGTTTAGAGACAGCTCTCTATCAAATTGGCTCGTACTGACCCATGAGTGCATCCCAGTATGCCAGGACTTCCATAATATTCATACCAGTCTATAATCCTGATCTTGTAGCTATTTGGACGTGGAGTTACTGGCATAGTGATGCAGGGCAGGAGGCCAGAGATATCCAGGTTAAAGAAACACAGGGGTTCACACATAGGCTGACAAAATTAGCCTTCATCTCGCTATGGTTCATTGGGGAACGACCGGTAATATGTGCTTTTATGTTCCCTTAGAAAAACGTAAAGATATATTTAGAAATCACAAAGGAAAATGGGGAAGACATTGAATATCAGTGTTTTATCAGAAAACAAAGTGTCCCTCCCTCACACGACCATGTTCAGATTTTGGTTGCAGATTTTGTACAGCAATCAAGTTTTTCAGGAGTACACCCCTAGATTTTCTGTGGAGAAAGTTAGGAAGTGAGCTGCATGGTGAGTGACCCAGCTTTACAGTCCATTTGAGTGTGGCGCCCTCTAGTGTTACATCTGAACAATGACATCTGCAGGCCTTGTGTTAATCAATGGGAAAATTGAAAGAGCAGTTTTGTTAAAAATACTTAAGATTCTACCTCTACAAAACAAGAGAAGGAGGATCAACATGGTTAACTTTCCATTTGATTTACGATCTTTTGACACAATATCTCTGCCATTGTAAGCCTTAAACTTGCTCAATTTGTGTCATTCTGCTTTAACCTGTGGGCTAGGAGCCATAATGGGTCTCAGCCCTACTTATGGTGCTCCCTGGATGCTGACTTGCTGCAATAGGGTCATGGAGCAAGAGACTGTCTAATTTAGGTCCTGCACTGAGAAAGTTTCAAACCTCTAATGACAACCATCATTTATTTTACTGAAATATAATGTAGGAAAGTTAATGCTTTTTATTCAAGAAATATACAGCATTTGTTTTGAATTGTATACATTTATTACAGTTGCCTTGACTTTGTTTTTTTTCTTCTTTGGTTTTCATTAATTGGGTTTTTTATTTATTTTTGTTTTTGGAGTTGTATTTGAGCAGATATATGAAATATGCAAGTGCCCGCAATAGGCGCGTTCACACCGCAGTACTTTTCCCACTTTAGTTCCGATATAGTTCCAAAATGTCGCGTTCACACCAAAAAGAGCCTGAACTCAAATTAGTTCATGAGAACCTTTTTACCCCCTTTTCCGTCAGTTTTCCGTCCCTGCTAGAGAGCAGGTACTTTCGTGGGAGAAAAAGGTTCCTATGTCTGATTGGCTGGGCGGAATGCAAACCACGCCCCGTAAAACTCCCAAAATGTTTTGTGAAGCCGCCATTTTATTATCCTCTCATTATTAGCATTAGCATTAGCCCAGCGCAGAAACGCAGAGAGACTAACTTATGGCAACACAAAAGAAAACATGGGAGCGGTGGAGATGAGGAGGTGTCGGCATTCTGGCGATTTACTCGGAAGGCTTCAGTAGAAGCTGCTGGGAGTCCCAGGAGCTTCTACTGAAGCCAGTCCCCCCGGCCGGGGACTTCGGGCGGCAGTATACGCCGTGCAGAAGAAGAAGAAGTGACGTCAGCGGCTTCATTTGCCTAATCCTCCCCCAGGGACTTATTCCGGTGTGAACGCGATCTGTACTTAGTTAATGAGAACTAAAGAGTTCTGATGAAACTAAGTTCTGATGAACCTTTGTGGGAAAAGTACTGCGGTGTGAATGCGCCTAATGTTTAGTTGTTGCTGGGTTTGTCCACCACAGTTCCAGACTAAAGTATTCGATGAATTGCGCAGATGTTCATGGTCCCCAGACAAAGTCCTGCAGACTTAGCTAACTTTGTTTTTGGCTAGCAAGCTAACAGCTAATACACTGAGTGTCATAAAATCCTATACACTTACATTGATCATTTCCCCCCCAGGATGAAGTGTACTTTGGTTATCATCTGAATCATCATCCATTGTATGCAGCCAATACTTATGTTTATGACAAAAATATGATTTCCACATCAGCTGTAGTTTACTTTGTGTTTAGTGCTAATTAGCAAAGGCTAGCCTGTCAACACACTTGTTTTTCAGAGGAGATTTTTGCACAGCAAACTATCTCAGATTCATGCTTTGCGTCTTGGGAAAAGTAGATCTGTCACAATATTACACTTGTAGATCTTCTTTTTTTCTACAAGGCACAGATAACCGTTAATTATTGAGGGATATGATAATTGTGCCACACTGATCACACATAGTGGTTGGAGTAGTTTATAATCTATTTAAGATTGTGATAATTCAGTAAAACACTACTGACAAAGGTCCAGAAGGCAGAAACGTTATGTTAGACAATTTGTGATGCTAAGCACGAGCAGCCATTAGCATGTTAGCATCCCCAGAGCAGCTAGTATTTCTTTATTACTGTAATTTGTTATTTTGTTTACATTTTATAATTGAAACTCATCAGTCTTCCTGGTTCACCTTTATGAAAGTTGCTTCAGGCTCACTTATTATCTTCTCTATCCTGAATTACCTGTGTTTTTGTTTCATTTATTATCATTTATTGCTATTAAGTCCAGCACAAGGCAATCTCAAAATATCCTCTGGCTGACTAATTGGATCCCATCAAAACTTTTCTATCACCACTCCCCCCTTGAGCGGGAAGCTAATGAGCACAGCGGGATGGAACGTTCATGAAGAGGCAGGATGCTTCAGTGATGCAGCATCTCTGACTCATGTGGTGGTCTAATCGTTGGTAATGCACTGAGCACAGCCTGCCTGTATTATGTCAAGGGTAACACAATGAAATGCTGTGTCCTTCTTGAAGGGAGTCTGGCTGCTATTTGCTGCAGAGATTTTGGCAAAATTCCCGGAAGGTTTAATAAGTGTAATGGTGAAACTGGCACTCTCCCTGCTGCCCTGTCATTGCTTTTCATTAACAAATGTTGCGCTGCTAAATCAGCTGCAGGACACTTTTCATTTGCTTGGGCTTGTGCAGTAAAGGTTGTGTGAGGATGTGATACTGTCATGTAAAGTTTAAGGAATTTTTTTCACATTTTGAGATGATTATATTTTACTCTACAGTAGCTGAGGTAAACAGTGATTCCCACAAACCAGCCACATACCGTATGGATTTCCCCGGAGAAACCTGCAGTGTGATGCGGCTCTGTCCAGTGACTCAGGTAGTCTATTGATTTCAGATGGCAGAATGAGACCTCATTAAGTCTGTTTAATTAAATGAAAGCACTGAGTTGTTAAATTGGAAGGGAATTAAAACAAGGGATCTAATAAATGTTCCATCAAGTATGTTAGATAACATGTTTTTTTCTAAAAGATCACCTGACATGAAGAAATCCTAAAAGAAATGGTAAAAAAACATCTAAAATGTCTAGTTATTGAAGTGAATTCGGTGCCATTATTTGATACTTTTATTTATGAGCCAATACCTGAAAACGTATATTCTCATCAGTTTTAGCTGCAGCCTATTTTGTGTTAAGTGCTAATTAGCAAAAACAAGAGAAAAAAAATGCTCCGACAAGTATGTTAAGTTACATCATTTTTCTTTAAAAATATCATCTAACATGCCCAAATCCTGAAAGAAATTATCAAATAAAATGTAAATGTATTGAACTGAATTGTGTGTCTACAGGCAGCATTAACACCCAGTGCGAGTCCTGCTTGACTTTCTTTAATTAGACAAGTCTGTTATGTGCCGTCATCCTTAATGAGGCAGTAGCAGTGATCCGTCAATTCTGTGGCTCATCCCACCTTCTGCTCTTTTAAATTATTCACTAGTTACATGATGGATGCCTGTAAACAAGGAAGGGAGGAACTAGTTGCCTTCTTTATGCTGCTGAGTCTGCTGGAGCTCTACAGCAACTGCTGCTGGCGAGAAAAATACAGAAAAAAACAACTTCCCATCTGTGGTCTGCCTGCCTCTTTACTGCAGCAAAACCAGCCCGAGCAGACCGGTAACTCCCCCACACCCCCCCCCCCCTCTCCTTCTATCCTCTCTGGTCCTCACACCTCACTGCCCTCAGGTTCCTGCAGAGCTCCTGCAGCAGGGATGCACAAGAAGGACCTAAAAACCAGCTCTGCAAACTGCCGGTCACCATCTTCACCTCTCCATTCACCACTCATCGATTCCCCCCCCCCTCACTTTCCTCCCTCCCCTCGCTCTCTTCCTCTCTTTCCTCCTGCTAATTCTCAAAGCTCAGCACTCCCTAGCTGCCTGTACTGAGAGAAAAAAGTGATGGAGCAAGAAAGAAAAGAGGAGGAGCACTGTTGTTAGTGCGCCACAGAAAATCTTACCCCCCCCCCTCTATACCCAATTGATGACAAGCAGGGTTTTTATTGAGTAGCTCCTCAGCCAATGAGCGAACAGTGCCGGGAAATACAGCAGTGGAACTGCACCGGCTTTGATGCTTGTGCTGATTTCAGTGTGTTAGAACAATGTTAATCTGTGTGAGTGTTTCCTCTGCTCTCTGCCTCTTCTGAGCACACGTCAGCAGCACTTTGAGCCAAAAAAGTCTCATTAGAGTGTCTGCTTTTTGGACAGAAACACCCCCAGGTGAAACTGGGACCTTCTGCCTCTGGGGGTTTGAGATGTCTTGTGAGAGTGGGATGAACCAAAGTGCAGATTGTTAAGATTTTTTTTTCTTCCTGCATACCTGACCCTGTTCTCTGCTTCCACTCAGTGTTTCGGAGGCTGCACTTCTCTCTTCAAGGTAAGCAGCTTTATTTGTTCCTTTCCTGTCCAAGACTGCATCATCAGTTACTGCGTGCCAGGTTGTCACAGAGGCACCTAGCCTCATTACACACATCCTGTCTGAATGTAGGAAAAGAAAGGCGGAAAGATGGAATAAATGTCTCAGGGGTAATTAGAGCAGACTGTGTAAGCGTTTTGCCAGTCGCTTCTCATTTTAATTCGGAGAGTCTTGAAATATTATCAAATCTGCCCAAAGAAGGAACTTTTACAGTATGCCGGTCAGTCCTCACACCTCATCATGTAGTGCTGCAGTGCAATGTTACATACTAAAACACAAATGTGTGTAAGGGTAGAACTTATACACTATACAGAAACAGCCTTTTTCATTTTTCATCATAATCTTGACATGAGGAATTTCATTAAAAGTGAGAAATACTAGATTTGGTTTTACTTACTGGTAAACAAGCAGATAGAAAATAAGTATTTTTTGGGACAATATGTAACTGATTTACATTCATTTTTTATTTGTGTTTCTTGACTGGGTCTTATTTTCCTGTGTTTTACTATGACTTGATGGAGGACGAGAGGCTGCTCACTCACACTTAATACAGTAAAAGCTTGGAGGGAGTGTGGGCAAAGTCAAATCTGCTGAGCCAGCAGGAGTGAAGGGCCCACGTCTGCAGAGCTCACTGTGCTTATGTGCATCTGTTACGCAAATGAATGTATGCCAAGTCCATTACAACCTTTCCTTTTAATATGTTTTAGTAAAAAAATGCCCTTGACGGTGATAAAGCTTTTGTTAAATGTTGCGCATTACAGCCTCTGATGGACATTTAAGCTTTGTTTCATTTTCTTGTCATTTAAGCAAACCCCCTTCTTTATCTGGCCTCACAGAGACCTCCCATGTGGATATTCCTGTTTTCTTATCGATTAAGAAATATTTTATATTCAGCCACAGTCCAGAGTTGCTCTGTGTTTGTACTGTGTGTCCCTGGGCTGATTATGATGCAGTGTGTGAACAGATCAGGTGGTGCAGTGCTTGCCTGATTCCCTAGGGGTGTTATGAGTACATGACTGGGACACTCCTGAGTGTGTGAGCCAAATGAGGACTTCCTTTTGGCATCAGCAGAGGTGTATCAGGGGGTGTGTCTCTGCAGTATGTCCGTACACATACACACACATGCACACACACAGCTTTCCACTTCTACAATCTATGCCGTGGTGCATTTAGCGCTGCAATAGATGGTTGATGGATTCAAAGTGACGTATCTTAATATAGCAGTGAATGCACTGAGTATGTGACCTGGTAATCCAATAAGAGAGCAGGCTTGTGTTAATCAATAAAAATGTTGATTGTTTCCCCTTTATTACCTATTTTATTAACTGTTAAGAGAGTCATGATTAAGTTACTCATGTGACAAATTAAAAAGGGAAATAGCCCAAGATAAACTACACGATGACAAAGCAGCACAGCAGCACATTTGACATTTGTTATCTGTCTTTACTGTAGATATGTTGGACTATTAAAAACATTATTCCTGTAGAAAATATCGTTTTGTATCTAAAGTTATGTTTCTTTTTCTGAATTTGCATTCAGTGGTACACTGAGAGAGGATTAATCATTCTGAAGACAGTGTTGCAGCCTGTGCCTGGTGTCTGGTGCTGAAGTCAGCGTTACATCTGTTGGATGAGATATATTATAGAGCGTCCCTTTTATAAAAATCGTTCAATACTGAGATCTTTGACAAATATATGCAAGCAATTATACTTTTTTGTTTTCATGCTAATATGCTAATGGTGTTGCTGTACGTGACTCATTGAACTGGTCGACTATTTGGTCCAGACTCTATTTTCTGAGGAGGAATCCTTTCTGACTCTGTGATTCCCTGACTTTTAGCGCCACCATGTTGTCTACATAAGTGGTTTTGAGTGAAATGTCTATGGTTGAATGCTATAAGAAATGTTGTTCATGTGTTTCCCCTAAGAATAAAAATATTACCACTTCGGTAACCCTCTCACTTTTCATCTAGAAACCACCATCATGTCAAAGTTTACATTTGCAAAAGGATTGGTTTATAACCAAATATCTGAAAAAGGGCATCCCCATCAGCAGCTGTGAGTGTGTTTGAGTTGAGCCCTTAAGGTAATGTTAGCATGCTAACACTCTAAACTACAGTGGTATACATCCATCCACATATACACATATACATACATACATACATACATACATATGCCTACATACATTGATCAGCATATTAGCAGCGTCATTGTGAGCACGTTAGCATGCTAATGCAACCCAGTCTCACGGCATTTCGTGTTATAGTCACGAAATTAATTTAATCTATTGATTCCCCTGCTGAAAAAACCAGCTTAGACCAACAAGGCTGGTCAGTCAATATTAGGCTGGATTAGTTTGCTGGTTGAGAGGGGTTTTGGACACTTTAGCTGGTCAGGATAGCTGGTTTGGTCACAGTGGTCTAGCTGGTCACCATTAGCTGGTCGGGATAGCTGGTTTAGCTGGTAAAAGCTGGTGGTCACAGTGGTCTAGCTGGTCAGGATAGCTGGTTTGGTCACAGTGGTCTAGCTGGTCACCATTAGCTGGTCGGGATAGCTGGTCTAGCTGGTAAAAGCTGGTGGTCACAGTGGTCTAGTAGCTGGTCACCATTAGCTGGTCGGGATAGCTGGTTTAGCTGGTAAAAGCTGGTGGTCACAGTGGTCTAGCTGGTCACCATTAGCTGGTCAGGATAGCTGGTAAAAGCTGGTGGTCACAGTGGTCTAGCTGGTCACCATTAGCTGGTCCGACTGGTATGATCTTGAGTAGAACTTTAACTGGGATTACTTGATGGTGAAGCTGGTCATATATGATGATGAAACACTCTCACCCAATTGCAGTAGCTCAATGAACATCTATCATTTCAGATCAGAGCACCTACCTTACCAGAAAGGTACCAGAATGTATAGAATGTCTGTAAATAAATACTCATACATCAAATGATTAGAAGCAGGAAAATAATTTATAACACACAATGAACATTAACACACATTTGAAAACATTTTCAAAACACCCATTACTTCATATTTTTAAGCAGTTTCCTTCAACTGTTTCTTTCCGTTTTTCACAAGGTCCTGTATTTTTTGTGAAATGTAGTAACCGGCCAACTTCTCCTTCTCGGTCTTCTCCACGTTTTGTGAATTCAGCCATCCTCTGAAGCACTCTTGAAAAGAGAAAGGAAAAACAGATTACATTTTAGCTTTGTGTTATGATTACTTAAATATGTGCACTGTGAGATGAAAAAGACAAATGTATCAAGTTTAGTTTTGAACATTCACTGTGATTGGGTCTATTGTCCACGCAATACACCGTATTTAATTTTTTATTTAATATTCTGTTCTTGTAAATATCATATTCTATTATATTACATGTATATAAACTTTTTGCACTACTTTTTATTTTGTATTTTTGTATTTTATTGTATATGTTGCATTGTTGGAGGAGCTCAGGTCAGAAGAATTGCATTGACATTTCTACACTGTAGCTGCTGAGCATATGAGAATAAAAGCTTTGAATCTTGAATCCAACACTTTTTTCAGTGGAAAATCCTGAATTGTAGGATACTTTGGCCATAATAATGCTTTATGATTACATTTCTAGTGAGAAGTGTATATTTTACTTTCAGAATCTTCCTCCAGTGGATGTGCACCTGCGTAACACATGGTGCCTCTTGTCTGAACAATTTTTTAAGCGATTTGTAATCTATTCTTGTCGACTTGCAGCCTAAATACAAAGATAACTCCACTCTCCTACCACTGCTTACCTCTAATGAGCCTTGGTAGAACTAGTGTCCGAGTCATGGGGTCCAGAACGGACTGAAGACATGTGGAACAGAGTCATAGGGTCCAGAACTGACTGAAGACATGTGGAACAGAGTCATAGGGTCCAGAACTGACTGAAGACATGTGGAACAGAGTCATAGGGTCCAGAACGGACTGAAGAGATGTGGAACAGAGTCATAGGGTCCAGAACGGACTGAAGACATGTGGAACAGAGTCATAGGGTCCAGAACTGACTGAAGACATGTGGAACAGAGTCATAGGGTCCAGAACGGACTGAAGAGATGTGGAACAGAGGACAGGCATGGTTCCATGTACAGGGAACTTTTTGAACCTTTCTGCAGCGATGAATAAAGAAAACAAAGAAGACATTTTTAATAATAGTAATGATGGTAACAACAATTATATTAGTATAACTATTTATATAGCACTTACACAATTGCAAAGTGATTCTCACAACAAAAATAAAGAACAAAACAATATCAACAATAAAAAAACAAATGATTATAGGAATGTTAAGAGACAAAGAAATGATAAACATTCTGAGAGGCCGACTACAAAAGCTAGACTCAATGGCTCTTGATGACATCAATGAGCAGTCCCAATAGATGCTGTGGTATAAAAAGAAATAGGTCCAGATTTCTTCTATTTTGTGTTGGATGATTTGTTTTATTGATTGCTGATGGATGTATATATATAGGGTTTATTCAACAGCAGTAAAGCATTAAGTTGCTAAATTAACGTACACTGAACTGTTAAACAACTTACCACTATTTAGGAAAGGCTCTGATCAGGAGGGTTGACTAGTAGGACAGCAAAGAGGTGGTGTCATGTACAACCATTGGTAGATGTTACACCTGAAAGAAAGATAAGGAAATAAGAGAAGACAGGAGGACAAACATCCTCTTAAGTAAAAGACCAAATCAAGTCAAGCTTTAACCTGAGCCTGTTTTTTCAGTCTTTACAATGCACTGTTGGAAAATACCTTCCAAAGGCTACATTCAAACTCAATACCATAAATAACTGGGTACCAAAGTGCTTTACCTGATAGAACACGTTCCACACGGAGCAGCAACCATCCGGCTCGGCCTTTTGCTGCATATCATCTCCTCCCTCTCCACTGTTTCCAGTAGATCAGTTTTATTGGATAGTAGACTATCCAATAAAACTGAAATTCCCCAAAAAATCATATTAAAAAAAAGTTAAAAACAATAACTTGCTTTTGGCATTGAAATAGATTAGATTAGATTAGATTAGAATCTCACCTTTTTCCTGGATGTCAGGAAGGCGTTCCCTTCAAGTCCGCAACCAGTCATAGGGGTTCAAATGCAAAGCCTGAACGATGACAAGAGCGAGATTTACATTTTACAATTATATTTTTAATTCATACCAGAGCAGTGTGTACGACATGCAAAGAACAGACAGACTCACACAGACTCACACACTTTGGTGATGTCCTTATCTGATAATGTTTCATCTTTTAGCAGCAAAGTAACATTACTCAAAGTATATGTATGTTTTGCATCTCCTCAACAATGGTCTGTATCATTGAGTAGAAAAAAACTGTCCCCACAATTTCAGGTAGATTAACACACATTTGTAAGAAAAGTTTACAATGAAGCACAAAAACCCTCTTTGTATTAAGCTAGCTGCATCAGAAAGTACAGCTTAACATGCTAACCTTTGGTGGAGAGCTACAGTTAGCTAACTTCATGTTCAACACAACACCTCTAATGGCATTACATTGACGATTTTAAACAAAACGTAACCCTCTCAACTTGTAAGATAACGTTAAGTTAACTTACAACTTATAGCTGCATCACGTTTTTCAGGGGAAACACAAACTGCAGAAAACGTTAGCTGCTAACTATTGTTAGCTAAGACAGCTAGCCTCCTAGCAAACGTAAGGTTAAGTTAACATTAACGTAACGTTGTAAGAAAGCAAAACGAACCTTCGAGAAAGCTTTTACTCTCAGACTTGGTGAAATTGTGTAGTGTTGCTTACCTCCAGAAGGACTTTTAGCGCGTTTCCCAGTAGACAGAGCTGTCAGAGCGGTGCCTCTCAGAAGAGCAGCCGCTGGGCGGAGTCACAGAAACGTTCAACTGATCTTCACTCCTCGACCGTTAGTGCCAGTCAAAACATACCGCTTTGTTTCAACCACTGCCGTGTCGCCGTTCCCCCGTGTCCCGCCCTCTCTGTCTGTCTGTGTCTATTTCAGTTTTGCTAGCAAGACTGCTGATAGACCAGCTTCACCAGCTTCACCAGCATAGACTAGCTAAAACCAGCATAGACCAGCATGACATCCATGCTGGGCTATGCTGGTTTAGCTGACCAGGCTGGTCTTGAACCAGCAAGAACAGCCTGGTAAACCAGCCTAACACCAGCCTAACACCAGCCTAACACCAGCTAACACCAGCTAACACCAGCTAACACCAGCTAACACCAGCTAACACCAGCTAACACCAGCTAACACCAGCTAACACCAGCTAACACCAGCTAACACCAGCAACCATCTTAAACTGGTCTATGCTGGTTTTTTCAGCAGGGTCGTGTTCACCAACACGATTTTCACATTTTTTTCGTGTCACACAGAACGATTTTAAATGCAATGTATTTCTATTGGTAGTATGTTTCGTGCCTGCAACACGTCTTTTTGTCCGGTCGGGTCTTGGAAGACCAGAAGCTGTGTGGTTCATAAAAACATGTTCTTACTCAATATCTTACCCTAAGCCTAACCCTATCCCTTTTATTTTAAATTGTATAATGTCTGAGTTTTTTTGCCGTCAGTGAGGAAAAGAAATGGGGCTCAGAGCCTCAGAATACTGAAATCTGTATTTTATGTCATCTTTTTTTCCTTCTAATTTGTTATTATTTGGTGCAGGCACGAAACATACTACCAATATAAATACATTGCTTCTAAAATCGTTCTGTGTCAGAATACTGAAATCTGTATCTGTCTTTTTCCTTCTAATTTGTTATTATTTACATTGCTTTTAAAATCGTTCTGTGTGACACGAAAAAAATGGCGAAATCGTGTTGGTGAACACGAATCAATAGATTAATTTCGTGACTATAACACGAAATGCCCTGAGACTGTTGGCTAATGTTAGCATTTAGCTCAAGACACTGCAGTGTCTCAGTACAGAGTATGAGCTCCACAAGTCTATTCTTTTATTGTATTGCATCTTCTTCCTTAGTTTTCTTGTATTTAGCACAACAACTTCTTTGGATAAATGTAATTTTTTGTTGATATTTGATTGTCGGCCTATGTGGCTTTGTAAAACTGACAGATCAGAGATATTATTCCAGGTTGTCAACAGTTCACACAGTTATCCGGGAGGCCTCATTTGAGCTCTTTAAGTTTTCACATCAGTGCTCCTCTTGAGGAGAGGTGTTCTTGCCCAGAGGACTTCTGCTGCTTGATGGTTCATGAAATGGGATCTGTACTGCAGCAGCCTATAATCCTGTCCTCAGACTCAGGTCCTTCTTCACAGGCTGTCAGGTGCATCAATGTACACCACTTACACTGTTGATGTTTCTCATTTATACTCTAGACATCGTGCTTGGTGAGTAAGTCTGCCTGAACTAATACTACAGCCAGTTGCCACAGTGTCGACTATTCATAAAATGGCATTTGATGATGTGTTTTTAGACTGGACCGTGATGCCAGGAAAGATGTTTGCAGGCTTTGAAAGCTTCCATTTGAAAGTTGCTGAAGATGTCTTTCCTGTCAGTTAGATGCTAGTACATTTCTCTGCCTGAGGATACTTTGGATGGATTTGTTTACATTTTTAGGATTATTACTTCATGAAGCTCTGGCCTTCTTTGCCAAATGACTGCATTCAAACTGTAAGGAACAAAATCTATACAAGCCTTTAAATGTTGGCCTAGATTGAGTTTTGGTCAATTAGCAGATAAAACATTTTTTTCTGAAAGAGTGCTGATGTTTAACCTTCAGGGCAACACAGAACATGCAGCAGGTCAAAGAGACTGGAGACACATAAGAGAGGGGAAAGTTACATGACTCATTCACGCCTTCATCTCCTCCCGCCTGGACTATTGCAACGCACTCCTCTACGGCATCAGCACTACATCCCTCAATAGACTTCAGCGTGTCCAGAACGCAGCCGCCAGACTCCTCACCCACACCAAATCATGGCATCATATCACCCCGGTCCTCAAAGAACTTCACTGGCTCCCCGTTTCACACCGCATCCAACACAAACTCCTGGTACTCACCTACAAAGCCCTCCACCACCTGGCCCCCCCCTACCTCACTGACCTCCTGATCCTCTACCAACCACCCCGGTCCCTCAGATCCACCTCAGCCGGTTTGCTTTCCATCCCCAAGGCCAAACTCCGGAGCTTTGGGGACAAAGCATTCTCTGTGGCAGCCCCGAAGCTCTGGAACTCCCTCCCCCAAGACCTCCGTGAGTCCGAGTCCCTCACCCTGTTCCAGTCCCGCCTCAAAACCCATCTCTTCAAATCTGTATACCCATAAGCCCCCCCCCACCCCCCACTTCCTCCTGACTGCTTTCTGTTTTTTTTTGTTTTTTTCTCTGTTTTTTTTTTTGTTTTTCTGTTTTGTTTTTGTTTTGTTGTTGTTTTATTGCCTGTCCTTGTCTGTCTACCCTTCCCCAAATGTAAAGCGTCTTTGGGTTTAGAAAAGCGCTATAAAAATTTAATTTATTATTATTATTATTATTATGAGAACATACTGGTTCAAAGGGAAAGTGTAGCGGCCAAAGCACATTGACTGAGTTAATTAATCCATGTCATTTTCAAGTTAAAAACACACACTCTCCTCTGTTTTCACTTTCTCCAATGGGACAATTTGATGCTTATTGTCCTTTGTTTTGTAATGTAATATTATAAATGTTTTCTGTTGGTCGATAAAACAATACATTTAAAAATATCAGCTGGCACCTGAAAATAAACTTTTTTAAAAACATTTTCTTGTTAAAAAATGTTATGGATTATCAAGAAAATGACTAGCATATTACTTCATGTATGAAAACAATGTCCTACA